CCATCGAAATCTGCAGCGCGTCGAGCTGCTCGCGCAGCTCGGCCTGCATCTTGGCCCGCATCTCGCCGATACGCCACTCACACTCAGCTCGAGCTGCATGATTTGCCTGGTCGGCCATCCGCTCAGCCGCTTTGATGTCGCTGTCCTCAGGTTGTCGCAGTCGGAGCGCCTCAGCTCTTGTGCCGCAGCAAGCTCATCCCGCGCCGATGCGAGCGCCTTCTTCATAGCGTTCGCAGAGCGCTGCTCAGAAGCGAGCTCCTTGGTCTGTGACCGCAACTTCTCTTCCAACTCCTGCCGGAGCAGCATCTCAGCAGTCGCACTACTCGCGGCTGCATGGATGTCCGAGGCCTTTAGTGTGGTTTGCGCGTCTGTGCTGACGAGAGTGCGGGAGATGCTGCCCTCGTGCTGAACAGAGATTGCGCCAGCGGTAGCAGTGCTGCTTCGGCACACAACAACATTGCTCGTGGCCGAGCTGGCATAAACCGCCGCACCAGCCTCTGCGGCTGCAGCGGTGCTTCGGATCGCGTCGAGCACCGCGCCTGTATCGTGCATGAGCACAGCCTCGAACATACTGAGGTTGGCTATTCCGAGTTCGTTGAGCAGGCGCTCCAGCACAATGCTGAGCTGCGTCGGTGCCATTTGTCGAGATGTCGACGTGTCCAAGGGAACGGACGTCGCCGAAAGTCCTTCCGAAAAGTACGTCTAACGCCTCCTGCTAGCTGGGGCACGCTCCCATGCGGCTGGGGGCCGCTCTCCAGCTCGATTAGGGCGCTTTTCGCGCGATTTTACGGAATTACGAGCGGGATGGGGCTCGCTAGCCCCTCGGCGTGAAAGTGCGACCGAACTTCTGCTACACTAAGACACGGAACAACAATGACGACAGCGGACAGGCTCTCCGCACGGACCGTGCACACCAACCCGGTGCACGAAGACCCACACAAAGACCCTAAACGGACAGAAACAAGCACAGTCCGAGGCAAACCCGGTCGTCAGCGGGCGAGGCGACGGCATGCTAGATGCTTCCCTCGCCCTGCTGCTCGGTACCAACAACGCACCGTCCTCAAGATCCAAGGTGCGTCACGCAGCCGCGCCTTCGGCTGCCGCGGCTTCACCTCTGTGTGCCGCAGCTCCGCCTCTGTTCTCAGCCCCGCAACGAGACATGTCTGCCCCGTTTGTTTCGCCTCGCAGAGCCGCTCCTTTGGCTGCCGCACTCTCACCTTGGGCCGCAGTCTCACCTCCGTTCGCAGCACCGCCTCTGTGAGCCGCAACGATACATGTCTGCTTCAACATCCGTTCGCAGCCCTGCCTCTGCTGTGCCGGGCAAGCCCTGGCATCGGGGACCTGTACCTGTGTCCGTTACTCCGAGAAGAGCGGGTAGCGCGCTGAGTAGCGGCTCTGTTGAGCACCACTTGTGCCGCGGTATGCGCTGAGTATTGCGTATCAGTCGAGGGATACGAGGCTGCCCAGTTGAAGCTCTGCTTGAGCGCATCGACATCTGCCCCATGCACGGCGTGGAGTCCGTGTGGCTCGCCGGCTGTGATTGTGGGGAGCTCCCAGAGGAGGTGAAACATGTCGACGAGACGCTTGCGACGCCAGTGCAAGCATAGAAAGAGTAGCGCAGCGCAACATGTCCGAGAGTAGCGCGCGGCCCTCAACCGCTGCTCTTACGTTGTCATCGTCAATTCGGTCGCGTTCTCCGGTGTGTGTTGACTGCGCTTGTTCTGCTTTGTGGCTCCGCGCTTCCGCCATATTGCTGTAGCTGTCGAGTGCGACGCATGTCAGGTTCGACCCGTGAAGTTCACGCCCTGTGTTTTATCGGCCGCAGTAAGATTTCGGAACGTCCAAGATGTCCGCCTGTCGAAACGTAAACGTAAAAGTAACTCTGCCTTTGAATTCTTCTAAATATCAGCATTCTTTCTCTTCTTACTTCTCTCTACTGATATACTATTGGTATACTATCGCAGTGCTATTAGCAGTGCTACGCACTGCAATAGCCCAAAAAGACGCTCAGAAACACGGTCGGGCGACGTTTAAGGGCATTTTTGGACGCCGCAAACGAAAAACATCGAAATCTCGGAGTTGGAGATTTATGACGATTCCAACCGACGCATTGCGATTGCAAACACAACGGCCAAGACACGAACGGTTGACGACATCGTGCTGGCTGCAAGTGAAGAAATGGATGGGACCAGAGAGGACAGAAGCGGCCATTGATTTCAGTTTCGTCACTGATGATCCTTCTGACAGATAGATAGATTGACTGATTGACAACCTCGATGCATCTCCGAGATTGAAACCTCTGAGGGGAATATATCAGAAGGACGGACTGTTGGTCGGTCCGTGATTGCCTTCATATAAAATGCAAGAACGTCCTCATGTCTGCTTTCCGTAAAAAGGACAACTCATCAACGCTGATCCCGTTCCGCGTTCGCTTTGTCCGCCCTTGGAGTGCCCTTCTTCACCAGCATGGTCGGCCCCTTCAAGATGGCATGCTTCGGCCTTCGCTCGCTTCGCTGGACACCTGCGCGTGTTGAGCGACACTATTCTGCTTGCACAAACTTGCTCGACCTCCCGCTCTGCGTGCTCGAGGAGATCGTCGATTGTGTGATCGCTCCTTTCCAACACGTTGGCACTGAAGCGAAGCTCGAGAACTTTGCCGACGCGCCTCAAAGTGGTGACCAAGGACATCTGGAGGAAAGCGCTCGAGCTGAACTGGCGTGTAGCGACGGGCGCTGCGCGATAGCTGCTTTGTGGGTCCCGTGAGCCAAGTCAGCGTCGGGCTGGCTACATGTTCGCTCGCCGTGGTCACAAGCCATCGAGGAAGCCACCATACCAGGGCCACAATCGCGTTGCGGACCAGGTTTGTGACCCTGGCGGTGGCGAGCCTTTGGCGCACAGCGTGAGCATGCCAGCACGGCTCGCATCAGGGCTGCACCCGTCGCCGAGCACCTCGTGCACTCCACACGGATCGGGTGATGCCACGAGCCCGCTGCGCGGCTGCACCGAGTGACTCTCTGTGGCAGGGAGTGCACTTTTATGCCACATGTTGGCGTTGCCTCGCAGCATGCCGAGTGGGCCTTCTGTCTCTGAGGAAGAACCGAAATGCGAAACAATTCGCGCCCTGCCGATCTCCGAGTGGTCAATCGGAGAGGTCTGTGGACACGTGTGCAAGCGAGGCAGCCGCGATCGGCGCGTCTCTGGCATCTGCGTGGTGAGCACCCTGGCGGTATGCATGCTGCTAAAAATCTCTCGAGTCATGGCTGGTGCGCAGCAGCCTCAGCGCAGGGCTAGATGACGTGTCCGGTCGGAGGTGGAGCGCTACCAACGGCTCGAGAGGTTCCTCGCGGGTCGAATTCCGTCCACGCGCACGCGTCGGGGACCCGCTCAGCAGCACCGAGGGGTATCTGTCGCGTCACAGCTCGAGACTGTCTGCCCGCACCGACGAGCACCGCGGCGCTCATGCGGCCGCTCTTTACCTATCTCTTCTTCTTCCGCCTCCTCCCCCCCTGCCCGTTCGCGCCACCGCTCGTCCCGCCGCTCTGCGCCGCGGCCCTCGCCATCATCGCGGCGCGCACCTCGGCGTGCGACGGCGGCGGCGGCGGCTGCACCAATCGCGCGTGCGCTCGCGCCTATCAACTTGATCATGGGCCGTTGCTCATAGGCCATGACTAGCTCATACAAGAGGCCCACCCCTCGTCTCTCCTCTGGCGGCGGCGCGATGAGCTCGGCGGAGGCGAAGTCGCCCTCGAAGAACTCCTCGAGGATGATGGCGGCGGCGACGTCGTGCGTCCCTTTTTGAGTCGGAAAGCTATTTTCTTTTGGGTCCTGTGGGCACCCTAAGCTCGCCCATTGAGGAAGTGAGAACTGCTCGGCCCACCCCTGATCCTGCTGAACAAGCTCCTCTTGTAGCTCGATCGGTCACACCGCCATCACCGTCGAGGAGAGGGGGGACGACACTGCTTCGGCAGCGTGCACCTCGATCCCGTACCGTGTTTGTTATGACCCCCCCCCCATGAACACACCAGCCAGTGAGGGTGGGCGAGACGATCGAGGGGTCCCGTACCACGCGGAATCGACCCTATCCAGTGCTCAAGTGCTCAAGGGAATGGACCCTATCGGAATCGACCCTGTCCGTGCTCAAGTGCGCAACGTGTTTTAGTCACAGCGGCAGCTACAAAAGGGACGGACGGTCGTTGGCGGCCGGCTCCCCGCCCGGCTCACCGCTGTCGCAAGAATGGGCAATCCGATACGTGGTCTCCTCGTCCTGCTGCTACCGCTCCTTGCTGATGGCGGGGACGCCAGTGCTGATTTACTCGGTGCACACGGAGGCATCGCCCCCAGCATCGCCCAACAGGCTATCAACGCTGCCGATCTCGCGACCAAGGCTGCAGACCTCGCGACTGCCAACGCTCTCGTTGCTCGCAACCTCGTCGGCCTCGCGGGCCAGACGGTGCAGAGGACATCCCAGGCGGTGAACAACAACATTCCAGGCAACGTCCCCATTGGAATGCCGAATGTCGGCGTCAGCAACACCAACCTCTACTCCAGCGAGAACCACACAGAGCCCGTGCTGCTGGAGGAGTATCCGCATGTGTGGCACCAGCTGCCGCAGAGGGCGATAGGCTACAAGCACAGGAGGGGATCTGCGTCTTACTCGACCAGTCGCAATACCTTTATGCAGATGCTTATGATCTGCACAATGGAGAATGGGAATGCCGAGAGCCAGTCTCCTGAAGAGAAGGGGATGCAGCTTCTTCCCATGCCAACGATGGGGACAATCCTCTTTCCGATGCAGGTAGAAAACAGATAGAACTGTCTGACCAGTCGGATTGGAGGGGGGTGGCGGCACACAGGGGGAGGGGGGGAGACGCCGATCCGGGAATCAAGTTGGTGCCGGCACCACACGTTATGTGACGTAATCCTATGCGTGCGGGCGGAAGTGAATGCTGAATCCCGTTTGCGTTTCTCTCGTGTCAGGACACAGGAGACAGGAAACCCCGTAGCTCTGTACGTATTTCATATTGTAGATCTCATACGTCTGTCGTCTCAGTACATGGCAAAAATGAGACTCGAATAACATGCATGCCGGCGGCCACGGGACTCGGGAGGCGGGGTGCGCATGCATCGCGCGGGGAGGGTTGTTAGGCCGCGCGGGGCGGCGGCGGGCGGTGGCGGTGGCGCGTAGAACAGGAGTGCCTGCGCGGCGCGCGCAGCCCACCGCCTGCTAGCTCGCCTGGAGGAAGCGCTTGTACGCGACGTTGCCGCACTCGCGCACGTAGGGGTACTCGAGCTCGGTAAGGAAGGTGTCAAAGGCGTCGGAGTCCGCCTCAGGCACCTGCAGCGCGGCCAGCACCCGGCCGACGTCGCCGCCGTGGTTTCTGTAGTGGAAGAGGGAGACGTTCCAGCCGCCGTTGAGGGCGTCGAGGAAGCGGCTGAGCGCGCCCGGCCGCTCCGGAAACTCGAAGCGGTAGAGCCGCTCGTGTTCGATCGTGACGCGCCCTCCCGCGAGGTGGCGGGCGTGGTCCTTTGCAAGCTCGTTCGCTGTTAGGTCGAGCGTCTCGCACCTGCACACCGCAGGGACGCGCCGGCGGGGCGGGTTGCGGACTCGCGGCAGTGCGGGCAGAGCACCGCCTGAATCCAGGGGCCGCGCATACGGCGGAGACAGCCGGATGCCTCCTCCTCTCGAGAGCCCGCCGGACCACACGGGCGCGCGCTCCGCATCTAGTGCTCCGCATCTGGGCCTCGAGATAGGGGGAGATACGGGGAGATGCGGATCTGGAGTCCGCATCTAGGCCTCGCACCCGTCTGCGCGCAGCGCGGCGATCACGGACGCGTTGTCCTCGGCGCCGGCCGCCTGGAAAGAGATGTAGATGTGCGCCGCGTCGGCGCCGGGCCCCGCGTGCCTGGCCGAGGGCGGCGTGAGGGTGGGTTCGGGTACCGTGGGGTAGGGGAGGGTGGGTTCGGGTACCGTGGGGTAGGGGAGGGTCCCGCGTGCCTGGCCGAGGGCGGAGCGGGGGCTCAACGCACTAAAGGTGTCGAGGGCCTCCCCGGCGCCGTGAGGGGTGGGGTGGGGGGCCGGGGTGAGTACTGAGCTGCGTGCAGGGGTGAGGGGTGGGGTGAGGGTTTGAGTGAGGGGCTTCGGTTTGCCGGTAAGAGAACTCGGTGACGTTGCGTGGCTCGAGACGGCCGATGAGCTGCCGGAAGGCGCCTGGCAGCAGTGAGTGGGTAGCGAGGGTGGTAGGGAGGGTAGGGCAGCAGCAGCAGGGAGGGTAGGGCAGCAGCAGTGGGAGGGAGTCAGTCATGAGAGGGTAGCACCGGTGAGGAGAGAGCTGGCTGTATTGAAAGAGCAGCAGCAGCAGTGGGAGGGTGGCGGTAGGAGAGAGGGCAGCAGCGGGAGAGCGCGCAGTGAGGAGATCGGGCCAGGCCTCTCGGGAGCCACGACTTGTCTCGGCGAGATCTCGGGTGCATGTACGAGTGTATCTCGGCTAGATCTCGGCTATGTCTCGCCGGGCCGCTCGGGAATCACGACCGACAGGAGCGTCTCGGACGCGTCGGCGCGCTCCGAGACGAAGCGCAGCGAGTCAAAGTTCATGTTTGCGCCCGAGGTGATCGCGACGTAGGTCTGGTCGCGCGTGTTTGCGGCCGCGGCCCACTGCTTGACGCCGGCGATGGCGAGGGCGCCGGCTGGCTCGAGGATAGAGCGCCTGTGCGAGGGAGAGTGCCTGAGAGGGAGGGAGGGAGCTGCGAACGGGAGAGGGCCGCACCCGCTGTTTGGATCGGTCGACTGCGTGTCGATGGAGCCATCCTTGATGGCCAATCTCGGCTCTCCTCGGCTCATCTCGGCTATTCGAGTGCGTGTCCATGAAGCCATCCTTGATGGCGGCGCAAATCTCGTCGGTGCTCACGGTCAGCATCTCGTCAACCTAGCCGAGATTCGCCGAGATTCGCCGAGATTCGCCGAGATTAGGCTCGCGGTCCGCATCTCGTCGACCAGACGGTTGCGGGGTGCGGACGGTCGCGCCGCTCATCTCGGCGAATCTCGGCGAATCTCACGAGGTGGTTGCAGATGCGAAACGTCTCCTCGCCCACGCGCTTGACTGCGGCGCCTGCATCATGGGACACACCGAGGTCAGGGGCGGGAGTGCGGTCTCGCTCCGAGGAGCACCGCGTGAGTACACGGGCTACGAATACGCTGAACACAGCGGGATGCGGCCGAGTACAGCGGAGTGCGTGTCCTCGCGAGCGCGGGTTTGAACACGTGTTCATTCGGAACACACAACAGATCTGGGCGCCGCGTCGCGTCTAGGGACGACGCGCCGTCCGCGAAGAGGCCGACGTGCTCCAGCTCCTGCGCCGGGGGGGGGGGGGGGGGGGGAAGAAAAAGGCCTTTTAAAATTTTGGGTTTTTTCGAAGGGGGGGTTTCCCCTCTCCCCCTGGTTTGGGTGGTTTAAGGTGCTTTAGGCTGCTTTAGGCTGCTCTAGGCTGCTTTAGGCTGCGTGACGACCCCGTCAAGCCAACACCCCAAAGGACAACCTCTTCTTCCCCCGCCCGACCCGACCGGTGGGCTGGTTCAGACCCCCCCCCCCCCCCTCCCTCCCTCCCGGCGGCAAGAGGAGCAGCGTCCTCCTTCTGACTGGCGCTCTGTCAGCGTGTGTGTGCCCCGTCGCCCGTGCTATGCGGGTGTAAGACCGGCTGACGCGCTCCTGCAGCTGCCCCGACCGCAGCGAGGCGGTCATGCCGGCGGCGTCCTCCGCCTCGACCCCGATCACCTGGAGGGGATGCGTCCCGCCACCTCTGCAGACTCGCCAGCACGCCCGGCCGCACGCCCGGCCGCACGCTCGGCGAATCTCGGCGAATCTCGGCGAATCTCGGCGAATCTCGCCAGCACGCCCGGCCGCACGCGCTTGACATAGGCGGCAACGCCAGCCAGCATGCCTCCGCCGCCGCAGCAGACAAAGATGGCGTGGAGGGGCTTGCCGGTGCACTGCTTGAGAATCTCCATCCCGATGGTCCCCTGGCCTAGGAGGGGCGAGACTCGAGACTCGACACTCTTGCCCGATCTCAGGTGGCGGCGGAGGAGGAAGAGGTGGACGTGGCGGAGGAGGCGGCGGGGGGAGGGGGCGGAGGAGGCGGCGGAAATAGAGGTGGCGGAGGCGGAGGTGGCGGAGGCGGAGGCGACACGGCACCACTGCGTTGGCACGCCCTCTTCAGAGGCGACACTGCGTTGGCACGCCCGCGCAGCTCTCTCGAGGCGGAGGCGAGGAGAGAGAGAGGAGAGAGAGAGAGAGAGGAGAGGAGAGAGAGGAGAGGAGAGGAGAGGAGAGGAGAGGAGAGGAGAGGAGAGGAGAGGAGAGGAGAGGAGAGGAGAGGAGAGGAGAGGAGAGGAGAGAGAGGAGAGGAGAGGAGAGAGCAGAGCAGAGCAGAGCAGAGGCGAACAAGCAGACCGGCTATCACGAGCGGGTCGTCGAATGGGTGGATGAGCGTCCGTCCCTCGACCTCGACGAGGCGCGCCGCCTCGGCCGCCGCCTCGTCGTACGTGTCGCCGTGCAGCACCACCCGCCCGCCCAGCTTGCGCACGCCGTCCACCTTGATCGACGGCGTTCCCGTCGGCATCACAATCACCGCGTCAATCCCGAGCTTGATGGCGGAGAATGCGACGCCCTGCGCGTGGTTGCCCGCTGAGCAGGCGACGATGCCGCAGGAGCGCTGCTCGTGCGACAGCTGTGCGACCTTGTTGTACGCGCCGCGGATCTTGAACGATCGTACCGGCTGCAGGTCCTCGCGCTTGAGGTGCACGTGGTTGCGCGTCTTGGCCGAGAGGGCCGGCGCGCGCTGCAGAGGTGTCTCGTCCGCGGCCTCGTACACCCTCGCGTTCAGAATCTTTGCAAGGTAGTTGTTGTGCCCCAAACCCCGCTGGTTGTTGCCCCAGTTGCCACTCTTGTCTGCGTCCAGCGGCTCAAAGCGTGGAGACGAGACTGGCAAGGCTCTCCCGAGCGACGCGCCGCTCGCAAAGCCCCGACAGTGCGCGGAGAATCGGCTGCCGAGGGCGGACCTGACTGCGGGAGTCAGAACGCGAGCTCCGCGAGCTCCGCGCATGTATTGGGCTTGAAGCTGGCGGGGCCTGATCGGCCGCCTCGAAAAGAGAAACCTTCGCAACACGCACTCTAAAATCTCGCTAAAAAGAAAAATTAGTTTTTTTTCAACAAGCGCTGCTGCACCGCTGTGCAGGCACCTCTTTCATCGCCTAAGTGCTTGCTGCGCCCCTGCGAACAGCATATGCGACCAGCTGTTGCGGTCCCCGCCGAGGAGGCGGCGGCCGTGGTGGCTCAGCGGGTGTGGCGCGGTGTGCTCGCGCGACGGTGGTGGACGGAGCTGCTGCTGCGGGAGACGCTCGCCGCCCTGCATGCGGCGGGCGGCGGCGGGTTGCTGGATGGCGGATTGTTGCCGGAGGCCGCGCAGCCTCCGCCCCGGTGCGGCGCCGCCGTAGCGGCGCCGTCGCTGGAGGAGGCGCGGGCAATGGCGCAGGAGGCGGCCGAGGCTGAGACGGCGCGGCGATCGAGTTCGGATGGCGGCGATATAGCGGCGACGAAGGCGGGCCTCGAGGAAGCGGGCGGCGGCGGCGGCCGCGCCGTGCATGAGCCCCGCGACAACGCGAGCTCTGGTGCCGCCGCCCCAGAACCGGTCGATGCCGCGGGGATCGACGGCGGCGATGCGGGCCTCCTCGCGGCTCACGTCCAGTTCACTGCAGACGCGGCGTCAAAGATGAGCCTCGATGAGCTGCGAGAGCTGGCCGGCGTGCTCAGCCGGCTGATCAACCACCGTAATGGCGTGCTCGTGGCGCAGCTGCAGCGGCGGGACGGCCTGCTCCACGAGAAGAGCTACCGCGAGCAGCTCGTGTCGCAGCTTCTCCTGCAGGTGGACGCCTCACGAGCGTTGCGCACCGGATCTCTCTCGACTGTGCGGCCCGGCGCCCCCCGCTAGCCACATGTTATCGTTAATCGTTATATGCTACTCTTCTATTTTTGGAGCTCGCTACTCTTCTATGATCGACAGTCGAGAAGACTTGCGAAAAATACGATTCCAGCCTGCCACGCTCTTCTGTGTTGAGCTCGTGCCCAAACTTGTACCAGTCTTGTTCCCTGTCCCACTCCTCCTGCCAATCGGCCATGCCACAACGGTCGTTGTCCTTCATGCTGCCGACAAAGAAGTCGCAGCAGCTAAGCGCGTCCCACACCGGCAAGCCAGTGGCCGCGCGCACGGCATCCGAGTACGGTGGCAGCTCGGTACACTCCATCAGAATAGCGACGACAGGGTGCTTCGAGACCACGCGCTTCGCCAGTTCGACCATTCCTGGCTCAACCTTCAGTGTATCCACCGCCTCGCCTCGCTCAACGGCCTCAAACCCCGGCACATCCTTGCAGTCCACAATGACGAATCGCTCCTCTCCAACTTGCACAGCGCACGTTCTTTCGATCAGTTCGCGCATTGGCTCCAGCGTTGCCTTGTTGGCCGTGAAGATTGCGATTTGCTGGCTGGGTCCGTAAGCGGCCTTGATCGCAGGCAAGATGCACAACGAGGAGAGAAACACGGGGACTCGGGTGAGCAAGGAAGCAAACTCTTGGAAGTGCATCATGAAGCCACCTGTGCAGGCGTGTGCGCGAACAACAGATCGGTGAGCTGCTCTTTTATCGGCAGTCAGGAGCCGCTGCGCCTCCGTCAGATGCCGAGCGACTCCCAATCTCCAGTCTACATGTTATGGGCGGCTAGCGCACAGTCGCCCGTGATGGCGCAGACCTTCTTCGCCTGCACGAGGTACTTGACCCCTGCGATAAAGGCCCTTTGCACCTCGCTCGTCATTTTGCCAGACTGAGCCATCATACGTAAACGAGCCAGAGTGGGCGATATCTCCAACAGCCGCTGGATAGTTGTAGTCCAAGCGGATTACACCAAGTGCTGGGTGCACGCGCTTTGTACCGTCGACGGACATAGAAAGTACGCAGTCCGGACTGTGGACAAAATTGCTCTCGGCCATGGTGCGGTAGAAGCCCGCCTCCTTCTGCGCCATCTTGCGTGCGGCACTCGCAGTGGTTTCCAGCAACGAGATGTTCTTGTTCGTCGGGTTCTGAAGTGCACTCTTCATGAAGCATACGCTTTCCCCCACGCTGTTCACCACGGTGTCCATCACGAACCTGGTGGATGCACCCGCAGTTTTGCTCACATCAGCGGTGGCTTGGCTCGCAGTGGCGATGGCTTTGCTCAATCCCTCAGCGCCTACAGCAATCGCCACGTTGACATCAGCCGGTTTCGCTGCCTTGGCCGATGAGCCGCATGCGCCCATGACCGCCTGCAGCGCGGCGCGCGGAGGACCCGATCTCTGTGGTCTGTGGCGATGGACGGGAAGCGCGGACGTACGGCTCTAAATTCTATTCCGTGTCGTGAGAGAGTGAGAGTGCTGTGTGTATTCTTTTTGTTTGTGAAGGTACACACATGACGGACCAGGCCTCCAGCGTCACCGACACACACCTCTCCCCCACGTGCTAGGTAAAGTATATTGCCCATATTCACGCCGCCCCGATGACGGGCACCACCTCGATCACCACACACCTCACCTGTCCGACCTCTACCTCGTCGATACGACGCACCTGCATGTACGTGAGGGGCGGGAAGAGCACCTCCTCCTCGACAGGGAAAGCTGAGAGGAACGCAATGCTGGCGCCTCGCTGCATGAAGTTGGGCGTCCGCAGCCGCAGCAGCAACGGACTGCGCGAGGCGGAGTAGCGCACTGCGACGTCAAGCGAAGTGGTGGTGGACATCGGCGCCTTTTCGGTGCCGCCGAGTCGTTCAAAGTCGGCGGGGAGGGCGCGGCTCATGTTGGCGAGGCCGCGCCACAAGTCAAGCGGGCCAGAGACTTGGCGATCGACCGAACGCAACCGACTGATGGCCTCCGTGAGAAAGTAGACCGTCACCGGCAGCGCGTGCGGAGACTCGGACCAGCTGTGGGAGAGATCGACGCATCGCATCGGGTTGACGATCGACTTGAACGCGGCCGTCGTGTACAGGCGGAGAGCCAGAACATGCGCCTTTCCGAGCCTCGCCGCACGCGAGAGGTGATGCTCACAAAAGTCGTCGATGGTCATGCCTTCCCCCGACACGGTCATCCGGTCGGCACGAAGCCCAGAAGCGTCATGATCGCGTGGAAAAGGCGAATTAGCGAAAATCAACCCCGAGCTCCCAGCCCGCTGATGAAGAACGTAGTCCAAGCACTCGCAATCCTCATCGGTGCCGCTCGCGGCAAACTCCGACTCGATCGCTGCGACGGCGTCATCTAGTGACGGGAGGGCAAAATCTGAGCGAAGCCGAAGGAGGGAGCGCAGTCCACGCGCCGCGGCATCAGCCCGGCCTACGGCGAGGTCCCTGAGGTCCCCAGTGAAACGACCGTCGAGCAGGCCTCGGATCGACGGCTCCGCTCTGCGCACAGCAGCCGAGACGAGCTGCCATGTGCGCCCTGACCTTTGCGTTGTGCGACCGCTGGCCACTGGGGCGTAGACCTGCTCGACCGCCGGAGATTGCAGCCTCTCCTCCTCGCGCGGGGTTGCCCCTGCCTGCTGACTGCGCCTGCTTCGGTTTTCTGCTGCGAGCGCCGCCGCATTTTCGAACAGCTGACAGTGCCGGTCCGCCAATCTCATCAGATGCGGGTAGTTACCTCGCACCTCTTCCGACGCCGCCGCTGCGGATCGCCGAGCCCGCTGGCGTCGCATCGCTGCCTGAAGCGTCGCAGCCGACGCCTCCCTCGCCGCCTCCTCCTCCGCCGCCGCCCTCGCTGCCGCCTCCGCCGCCGCCCTCGCCGCCTCCTCCGCCGCCCTCGCCGCCTCCTCCGCCGCCGCCGCCCTCGCCACTGCCGCCTCCTCCGCCGCCTCCGCCGCCTCCTCCGCCGCCGCCGCCCTCGCCACCTCCTCCGCCGCCTTCGCCGCCTCCTCCACCGCCGCCGCCCTCGCCACCTCCTCCGCCGCCCTCGCCGCCTCCTCCGCCGCCGCCGCCCTCGCCGCCTCCTCCGCCGCCGCCGTCGCCGCCGCCTCCACCGTCGCCGCCTCCTCCGCCGCCCTCGCCGCCTCCTCCTCCGCTGCCCTCGCCGCCGCCTCCGCCGCCGCCGCCTCCTCCGCCTCCCTCGCCGCCTCCTCCGCCGCCGCCCTCGCCGCCTCCTCCTCCTCCGCCGCCGCCCTCGCCGCCTCCTCCGCCGCCGCCCTCGCCTGCATCTCCATTGCTTCTGCTGGGATCCATCGTTGAGGCAGGGCGCCCTCGTCATCGAAGCTGTCGGGCCTTCTTGTGAGAGCCAGGTCTGTTACCTCAGAGGAGTAGACTGTCATTTCCAGTCTGTCATTGGCAGTAGGGCTGTCTTGGCAGCGCCTCCTCCTGCGGTATATCAGGAAGAGGCAAAGACCGACCCCGCAGCATGCTAAGACCGTACAGCTCGCTACGATTGCTGTGGACAGGCCCGGCGGCGGTGGCGAAGCTAGCGGTGGCAGCGAAGGCGGCGGCGAGGGTGGTGGCGGCGAGGGTGGCGGTGGGCTCGGAGGCGGGGGCGACGGCGGCGGCGGGCTCGGCGGCGGCGGGCTGGGAGGTGGTGGCGAGGGTGGCGGCGGCGAGGGTGGCGGCGGCGAGGGCGGCGGCGGGCTCGGTGGCGGTGGCGAGGGTGGCGGTGGGCTCGGAGGCGGGGGCGACGGCGGCGGCGGGCTCGGCGGCGGCAGGCTGGGAGGTGGAGGCGAGGGTGGCGGTGGCGAGGGTGGCGGCGGCGAGGGCGGCGGCGGGCTCGGTGGCGGTGGCGAGGGTGGCGGTGGCGAGGGCGGCGGTGGCGAGGGTGGCGGCGGCGAGGGTGGCGGTGGCGAGGGCGGCGGTGGCGAGGGCGGCGGTGGCGAGGGCGGCGGTGGCGAGGGCGGCGGTGGTGAGGGCGGCGGCGGTGACGGAGGTGGTGGCGATGGAGGCGGGGGCGAGGGCGGCGGCGGAGGTGGTGGCGATTGAGGAGGAGGGAGTAATGGCGACATCGAAAGTGGGCGGGTGCATGTATGGTCCGACACATCTAAAGTGGAAGGGTGGCGTAGGGGAGAAGTACTCTTGAGGGAAACATGGGACCGTCAGGCCCCGGGGACTGGCCAGCCCGACTAACACAACCTTCAGGAACACCATTTTGCGGTCCTGAGCGGCCGTCTCGGAGCAGAAGCTTCCCTGCCTCCTTAGCCATGTTGCGGTGCCCTCGCGCCATCTGGTCGACGCACTGCTCGCAAGTAAAGCGTCTTCACAGGTCGGCAGATACGCCTCACCTTCAAAAAGGTGGCTGCCTACCCCAAAGCCCAGCCCGGGGCATCGATTTCTCTTGACGATCTCACTTTAAAACGCTGGTGCAGATGGGGTTTTCTCTATAGAAGTCGGAGCCTTGCGTCGAAGGAGAGGCAGCGTGCGGCTCCGTGGACTCGGCCATCACCCGCGGGTGAGAGGGCGATAGGAAGCACTCCCGCCCTCTGAGGCGGCCGTCCGAGTCGGGGAGGCAAACACACAGCCATCCTCGCGGGTGTGGGCGGCCTTATCGGCCCGCTATACTAACCCTTAAGTCGGCCCTTCCTCGGGTCGGCTTCGGAGGCCCCGCAGCCCTAGCCGGAGCTAAGGGGCCCGGCTTTCTCGGCGCTAACCCTAGGGGAAATCGCTCCGGAATAGGGTTCCCGGCACCATCGGGCGGCGCCACACGGATGGAGGGAGTCGGGTTTGCCATCGGCGGGCCGTGAGGGCGCTGAGAACTCAAGGCTGAGTTTTCGCTCCACTTTCGATGTGTCGGAGTATGCGAGGACGGCCCGTTCTGCCCGTTCTCGGGCTAGTCAGCAGATCTAGCGCAGAGAGGGCGATGAGGCGGAGGCACGCCGCAGCGGCAGGTGCAAAGAATTGGTATGAATAAGCGTATCAGCCGCTATACACACGAAGTTGTCACGGCTACCCTTTGAGTCGGTGTTCGTCTCGGTGGCGAAAATCGGTCTACCGCCGCCACGCGATTGCGCGCGCGCGAGGGCTACTCGAGAGAAGCTCGATGGCCTCCGCCGCTCCTCCTAGTCTGATCCGCCTCTCCTCTAGCGCGGAGGGCCTCATCTCGCCGGGGAGAAGTGCGGTGATCCGCCTACCGCCTTAGGCACTTGAACGGCGTCACGGTGAAGGCGGGCTCGGCCGCTGCCTCCCAACGCCTTCGAAGGCCGAGCCGCGCGCTCTCGCGCGGGTTGTGAGCCGCAGGCACGCGCGCCTGCTCGGGGACGCGCCGGGGAGTCGTGTGTGGACCGTTAAGAGAGCCGGGAAGGTCCGTTTGACGGTGCCGATACCTTGGATGCGACCGGCATGATCGGCGAAAGTAGCGCGGTCCTCCGCTGCCTACCGACGCCTTCCACGGCCGAGCCGCGCGCCCTCGCGCGGCGTGTGAGCCGCAGGCACGCGCGTCTGCTCGGGGACGCGCCGGGGAGTCGTGTGTGGACCGTTAAGAGAGCCGGTAAGGTCCGTTTGGCGGTGCCGATACCCTGGACGCGACCGGCATGATCGGCGAAAGTAGCGCGGTCCTCCGCCACCTACGGACGCCTTTGAAGGCCGACCCGCGCTCCATCGCGCGGGTTGTGAGCATCCCGTACCCGAACCTACTCGGGGCGCCGCCGCGACGGCCTGGAAGGCACGTATTTGTGGCCGGTGGTGCCTCTGTCCGAGTCGGCGGCGGCAGCGGCGATGAGGCCGCGGCGCAAGGGCGGAGCAGAACCGCCGCAGCGGCCTGCGGCTGCGCCGCGCGCCCGCGCGCGGAGGAGGGGCGTGTGTGAGTCAGTGCTACGCGGTGCCGCCCTTGGAGAGGCGAGAGAAGCCGGTGTGGCAGGCAGGTTTAGCTTTGTCGGGCGGCGCGAGCCGCCTCGCCGCACGCGGCCCAAATCAAGACACCACACCAGCTGCGCTGGCAGCGGGCGCTGGTCGTCTGGCAGGCAAAGGGGCGGCTAAACGGCATGGCCCGGATCGCGTGCGCCAGGCCCCGCGCGCAGAGGGCGGCTCTCTGAGCTCAGGGGACACAGAGCTCGGCAGCAGCTGTGAGCTCTCAAAAGTCGCTGTTCACACTGGCGACACCGGTTTCTTCTTCTATATCTTCATGAACCGCTGGGGGAGGAATAATTTCGTGCCCAGACCGCCGTACTGGCACGGTAGGATCGAGATCCGCGAGCGAGAGATGGAATTGGAGCCCTGGTGCGACGGGTTAGGTGAGCTACCATCACTGTCTTAGTGCGCGCGCCCCGCATGGTCCGACACATCTAAAGTGGAAGGGTGGCGTAGGGGAGAAGTACTCTTGAGGGAAACATGGGACCGTCAGGCCCCGGGGACTGGCCAGCCCGACTAACACAACCTTCAGGAACACCATTTTGCGGTCCTGAGCGGCCGTCTCGGAGCAGAAGCTTCCCTGCCTCCTTAGCCATGTTGCGGTGCCCTCGCGCCATCTGGTCGACGCACTGCTCGCAAGTAAAGCGTCTTCACAGGTCGGCAGATACGCCTCACCTTCAAAAAGGTGGCTGCCTACCCCAAAGCCCAGCCCGGGGCATCGATTTCTCTTGACGATCTCACTTTAAAACGCTGGTGCAGATGGGGTTTTCTCTATAGAAGTCGGAGCCTTGCGTCGAAGGAGAGGCAGCGTGCGGCTCCGTGGACTCGGCCATCACCCGCGGGTGAGAGGGCGATAGGAAGCACTCCCGCCCTCTGAGGCGGCCGTCCGAGTCGGGGAGGCAAACACACAGCCATCCTCGCGGGTGTGGGCGGCCTTATCGGCCCGCTATACTAACCCTTAAGTCGGCCCTTCCTCGGGTCGGCTTCGGAGGCCCCGCAGCCCTAGCCGGAGCTAAGGGGCCCGGCTTTTTCGGCGCTAACCCTAGGGGAAATCGCTCCGGAATAGGGTTCCCGGCACCATCGGGCGGCGCCACACGGATGGAGGGAGTCGGGTTTGCCATCGGCGGGCCGTGAGGGCGCTGAGAACTCAAGGCTGAGTTTTCGCTCCACTTTCGATGTGTCGGAGTATACAGGTCCGTGCTTTGGTTTCACAAACACGTTTGGTCCTCGCTATGGTACGGCTCACATAAACGCACAACTCCGGACCCAAGACGCAACAAGCACAGACAGTCGAGAAGGGGGAAAGACAGCAACGAGGTACGGCTCACCAGATGCGACAGGAGGGCTAAAATCCGGAATATAGACTGCCAAGAGGGTGCTCTAGGCCGCGAAGACACCACACACGGTCTCCCTACTCATGCGCGGCTAGCAGGAGGGTGCCAAAAATGAGGCGCGTTGTGAAACCGCAGCTAGCTGGCCCCGCCGGCGGGTAGCACAGGTCATGAGTGAGGCCACGCCAGCTGCCTCGGGTGCTCCGTTTGGTCGGCCTGGACCGTGCCGCAAGCCTCGAGCAGCGGAGAAGCGCTGTCCTTGAAGTCCAGACATGCTTCGCCGCCGTGGCGCAGCGCCGCAGTGCGAGCGAGCACTGCAGCTGCAGTGCTCGCTCGCACTGCGGCACCCATCGACTCCCTGCGCTCCGGGCACATTGGCAAATGTGCCGGCGGCCTTGTGGACGGCTCGGGCACGAATTGCACGACGGCGCGGCGTCTCGAGGCGGCCGTGTTGTGAAAACGAAGCTGTTGCGAAACCGAAGCCCGGACCTGTATTCGTTCGATCAGCGAGCTGTGGCTTAGTGTGTGCGTTCACGTACCCGGGTACACCGTACACAGTTTTTCGGCGTTGGCGTGCGGTGCGGTGCGCGTGTGCGCGGCCTCGGCCTGCGCCTAGATTGTAGACATATGGGGCTGGAGCGCCGACCCGAGACGACGGGGCGGGGGGGGGGGGGGGGTCATACGGGGTGTGACCGTGAGTTGACCAGGGGTTGTGCGCCGGGACCTCCTGCTCGGCTCCAGCCAGTAGACAAGTCTTGTCACTAACAGAGTAGAAGGATCTGACCTCGGGGCCGATGTGACCAAGCGCTGGTAGCGTGGTTTAACCTCACACCCATGGTCTCACAGTGTGCCTGGGGTGTCGACGGGCCCCCGGGGGCGACGGGGGTGCTCTCCGGCCGCGGCGGCCGAAAACGGGGGTCGGTATACGGTGTATCAATGAAGTGATGCACTTGATGCAAGGGTGCCATTGTGCTCTACTACAAAAGTTGTGTAAGATGCCCAAGTCTCAGACGCTGGATCCTTAGCGGAGCTGAGTTCTGACGGTGTGAACACGAGCAACGGGAGTGACGACCGGGACCGGGCCGCACGCCGGGAGTGCCCCGACTAGCAGTTACGGGCGCGGATGAGCGAATGAGAGGTCGCTATCTGTGGAAGATGTGTTGTTAGGGACTAGGACTGCCTATCTCTCACTGAAAGGGACCTCTCATTCGCTCGTCCGCACCCGTCACCGCTCACGGAGTGCTCCGCGTGCCGCACCGGCCGCCGCCGGCCGCCGGCCGCTCACGGCAACGGAACAGTCTTATTACTCCGCAACGTTGAGCTGGATCATACTGAATAGTGCTCCTGAAAGCCCTCTCCCTGGGCTCTGCCACACAGTAGCAGCTCATGACGAGCAGCTGCTGTGACTGTATTTGTAGCCATTTTTAGGCTTCAACTGGTCCCAAAATAGGAGCAACACCTCATGAAAATCAGTCAAAAAAGCCCCCAAAAATCGGCGCCTGCGGCGGGCTACCTGGGGCTGCGCCCCAGACCCCCTTGACTGGGGGGACCCCCCCCAAGAGCACCCCCGTCGCTCCCGGGGGCCCGTCGACACCCCAGGACAGTGTGCCGGTAGACAAGTCTTGTCATCAACAGAGTAGAAAGATCTGACCTCGGGGCTGATGTGACCAAGCGCTGGTAGCGTGGTTTTACCTCACACCCATGGTCTCACAGTGTGCCGGCAGTCGCCGAGCAGTGTCGCTCACACAAGCCGCAGCACAAGTGACTGAGGGCCAGTGAGGGCGAGCCCATCGCTGTCACAGCTGTGGCAGCCGCACAGTAGGCTGTGCCATCTGTGCAGAGCGTGTGAGCAGCAGAGGAGCTGCTCTCCAAGCTTCAGGCGCAAAGAGCTGCATGCCACCGAAGGCGCTGTCGAGGTTCGCCGAGCGCGGCGAAATCCGGGGACACCGTCACCGACGAGCGCGTTGGAGTATTCACTCCGGACAAAGACGGCTACACGCACACGAGCCGCGGTCGTGTAGCCGTCATACGTAGCGGCGAGGCGCGGGACCGTCTGTGGCGAAGTGGGTCGCGTCCCCGGATTTCCTCAACTCACCGCGGTCCACACCCTTTATGCGTGGCCCTGTCCGTATCCCCTGGGCGATGGTGGTGGCATCCCCGCACGGCAGGCCCAGCCCCAGGGAGCTGATCGCTGGTTGAGCACACTTTGTCTACTTTTTAACGTGACCGCACTTCATGTCAGTAAGCAGACAACAACCTCCTGCACGCCCGGTCGCTGCCAATCGAGGGGACCCGCTGTCGCGTCCGGTGCAGCGCCCGCTGCTGCAGCGCCTCCAAGAACCGCGTTGTGGGCTGTCGCTTGGACCACACGAGCCCGCCCAAGGGGGCGAGCTGCCGCTGCTGCTCGGGCGAGTGCGCCAGCAGAATGTCTGAGAGGCGCAGCAGCGTCATCAGCTCCGCGTTCGACTCGTTGACGGCCGAAGAAGGGCTCGCGCTCACCAGGACCGTCTGCGGGTGCGCGAGCCGAACCGTGCACGCGGCCTCGAGCGGGGAGAGCGGCGCCGCCTCTGCCGCCGCCGCCGCCGCCAGCAGCGCCTGGTAGCCCCCGTGGCGGAGCACGGCGGCCGCCGCCGCTCGAGGAGACTCCGTCGGCTCGCTGCGCAATCGTGTCGCACTCGCGCAAGCGCAGAGCGGCGGCGGCTCGACCGCGCCCGTGCAGAGGATGACGCAGACCCGGCTGCGGCGAGCCGTGCCCAACGACTCCACGCCGCTCAGCGCCGCGCTGAGCTCCTGCAGCAGCGCGTGCCTCGCGGCGGCCCGCGCCTTTTCCATCTTTTTGAGCTGCTTGGTCGGGAGGGCGCCGTGAGCGCCGCCGCGGAGGACGCCTACATGTGAACTGATTAGGGGCTAAGGAACACTCATAAACTAATCAGTGGGCGCCGCCGCGGAGGACGCCGCCGTCGCCAGACGTGTCAGAAGGCGCGACCTCGCAGCGCACCTCTTTGGCGACGCGCGCAGCCCAAACGTCGTTCGCCTAATAGTGACAATTGGTAACTGATATCCAACTGATGATGAACACTTCACAGCCCAAGCGCCGTTCGCCTCGTCGGCGCGCCTCTGCGCCACGGCGCCCCAAGAGCAACAGAGGCAGGCGAGCCGCGCGGGCAGCGACGCAACCTCGCGCTGCAGCGCGGCGCCGAGCCCGCTGCTGCCGGCTTCGCAGTCCGCCGCCAGCGCGACGGTCAGCTGGTGGCGCGGGCCTGCAGGAAGGCTCCGGGCAGCTTCCGAGAAGGCGCCCGGCCGGCGCCACGGCCAGCGTGTGTCGCGGCACCGCTCGACGGCTCCTCTCCTCCAGCGACGTCCGGCCCGGCGGCGATTGCACGCAGCAGGGGCATCAGCCGCTTGAGGCGGCGTGCGGCGGCGTCGCCCGTCTCGAGGACGAGGGCGAGGACGCGGAGGAGCGGCGGCGCAAGCCTCGCGTTGGCGCGGCCGTGCGCCGACGCGAGCGCCTGCGCGAGGCTGAAGGAGGCGAGGGTGGCGTGGCAGTCCATCTCGCCGTAAGACACAATCAGCTCCGAGCCTAACTACGACTTGATGAGGGCTCATGACTAAGGACCTCGCCGCGGGACACAATCGAGCTCCGAGCCGTTCAGTGTTCGCTGCAGTCCCGTCGCGAACTGGATCGACGGGACCTGGGCCCTCTGCGTCGGCAGCGAGAAGGGGGTCGAGGTGCCGATGACGCGGAAGGGCGGCGCGTCCTCGAAGGTGTACCTGGCAACCCAACTGGTCGGTGACCACATGGTCAAGCTGATGGCTGCCTACTCCGCCTCGGAGGTGCGCCAAAAGTGCTTGTACACCATCCGCTGGGTCGCCGTGCGCGACGACTTCTTCTTCTTGAAGAGCTTTGTGTGCGCGAGGGCGATGAAGACGCCCTCGTCCGGCACGTGCACCGCGGGCGTGCCCCCAGACACCGGGCCGAGCTTGCGGACCTACTCATGAAGCATGACCGCTTCTCTTCTGCTGTCACCCTCACCCAGACGCCGGGCCGAGCTTGCGGACCCACGCGGTGGCGGCGGGCGAGGAGGAGAGCGGCAGCAGCGGCGTGCCCACCCCGGTCTCCTCGTTGATCGCCAGCACGAGGCGAGGCTCGAGCGAGTACTCGGCGAAGAGGGCGCCGCCCAGCTTGAAGGGCGACCAGTTCTTCTCGCGCGACTCCCTCTCGCCGTCGTGCTCGAGCTGAGGCAGCCAGCAGAGCAGCTGCTTCGCGACGAGCCGGTCCACCTCGAGCCGGACGGCGCGCGCGCTGCCGTTGGCGGCGGCGGCGGCGGCGGCGCCGCCGCCGCCACTACCGCCGCCGCCGCCGCCGCTTCGGCGCGGGAGGAGCACCGCGTACTGCCACTGCGTCTTTGTCGACTCCCACACCTAAGGACAAGGAGTGGGCGGTGAGTGATTGCCAAGGGTCTGCCGCCACTGCGCCTTTGTGCACCGACAGGAAGACGAGCACGCCGCCATCGAGATATGGGGAGATATGGGGAGATATGGGGAGATATGGGGAGATATACCGACAGGAAGACGAGCACGCCGCCCCGCCACGCGATGGCACGAGGGTCCTCGGGCCCGCTCACGCTTGCCGCCTCCGAGACCGGAAACAGGGCGGACACCTCGTGCCACACCGACCACCCCTCGCCCGTGCTGTCCGTCGCGCCGCGCACGCGGAGCGTCGCGACGAAGCTCATCAGCGCGCCGCCCGCCGCGGCCAAGTTGTCACCTGCTGGTTGATCGACGAGTCATCCCTCCGGTCGCGGGGCCGCGAGACCGCCGCCAAGGCTGTCGCCAAAGGTGAGCTTTGGCCCCTCGGAGTCGCAAAAGTTGTAGTTTGAGAAACGGAGCACGAGGGTGAAGCCGCCGCCGCCCCCCGAGAGCAGGGACGGGTTGTAGGCGGTGAAGTGGCCGTGGGCGCCTATCAGCTCGCCAGCTCCGTCATAACCAACCAGCTCTTGCGCTGCTGTGCTTGCGCAAGGGCCGTGTGGCTCCCTCGCGCAGGGAGGGAGGGAAGCCCTCGGGAAGGGCCGAAGGAACGCGCAGCGGCAAGACCACGCCGCTCGGGGGAGCTACGAGCCGCTCGCCCGCCCGAAGCGCCTGCTGCCATCCAGACGGTCGGCCATCCCCATACTCTAATCGTCGTCGCCACCCCCACCGAAGCGCCTGCCCCTCCGCCGCCGCCCGCAGCCGGATCGACGCCACAGCCGCCTCTCGCGATGCGTCGGCCCCGGCCCCGGCGGGCAGCGGGCCGCAACTTGAGCTTCGGAGGACGACAGTCGGCGCGCCGCGCCACGCCTCGCGGGGGTAGAGCTCCGCCCGCCCCACCGCGCGGCCGAGGCACACGAGCATGGCCCGCGGGGAGGCGCCCCGCCGGTCGGCTGCCCCGGGCAGCGGCACGGCGGCCATCTCTCCGTCCGACCCCTGCACGAGCGCCTCGTCGCCGACCACGAGCCACAATTCACAATGAAGCATGAGAATGCTAGGCAGAGCTGATTTCTCTCTCACTCATACCTCGTCGTCGAGCACGAGTCGCGCAGAGGCGACGCGGCCGCGCACCGTGGCGCACGCCGCACCCTCCTCGCAGCAGCGCCCGCCCCCGTCGCACTGGCCGCGCCCCTCCGCCGCTGCCGCGCCGCCGCGCCGCCAAACCAGCTTCGGCTGGCCGCGGAAGCCCGCGCGGCCGTACAGCAGCGCCCCCGAGACGCCGCCGCATAGGCAGAGGTGCGACACCCCCCGCGCCGCGGGCTGCAAGTCCGCGACGCTGCGCGGCAGCTGGACGGCGGACCGCAGCCCGCCCTTGCTCCGCGAGAGGAGGACAGCGCCCGAGGAGGCGAAGTCCACCTGTTGAGGAGCCAACCGCTCACGGCAATGAATGGAGCAGCGTGCGACGAGGCGACCTCCACCGTGAGGGAACGCACGTTCGCATCCGGCAGCGACGCCGTGTAGCCTCCGGGCGGGGGGGCGAGCACGCTCCAGTTGCCGCGGAAGGAGGGCTCAGAGTAGACGGTCACCTACGAGCGGTCGAGGAGAGGCTGTTTAGTACTGGTCGCCGCGGTGCGGTGCGGGCTCGAAGTAGACGGCCACCGCCGAGACCCGCGCCGAGGCGCGCAAACCCCACACGCCGCCCTCCAAGGCTCCTAGCGTCGGGACAGCTCCCGACCAGACGGCGGAGGCGCCGCCGAGCTGGTCGAGCAGCAAGAGCGCCGGCCCCGCCCCTCGCCCCTCCCCGCCCCCGCCTGCAGCCGCCGGCTCGTGCTCCTGCGTGCCGCCCAAGAGTCTGCCGGCGCCGAGCGACCCTGTGTATGACACCCGCTCCATGACACGTCCGTGACACGTCCGTGACACGTCCTCGACCGGCGGTGTGTGCCGGCGGCGAGCGGTCCTGACTCGTCCAGCTGCGAGAGGACCGACTCGAGCGAGAGCGGGCGGGCGGGGAGGCGCAGCCGGCCGTAAGAAGTGAGGCGGGACGGAAGCCTAATGGCGAGGAGTCATTCACTGTTAGCAGCTCAGCAGCGATTCAGCTCGCGGCCGTACGAAGCCGGGCACTAAGGGCTGCCTGCCCGAGAAAGGCTCCTGCGTGTCGAGCCTCACCCAGCCGCCCGCACCCTCGACGCAGCGGCCGCCCGCCTGCGGCAAGCGACAGACCGGCTCGGCTGACCTCGGCTGACCTCGGCTGACCTCGGCTGATCCCGTCTGATCTCGCAAAATCTCCGGAGATGAAGCCGCCTGCGGCAGGCCGGACAGGCTCCAGCGCAGCGGGTCCCGCTGAGGGAAGTCCGCCGCGGCGACGATCTCGTAGGCGGTGGGCGCAGCGCCTGAGGAGCAACACTGGTCTACTGATCACGTTGGTCAGACGACCCCGTAGGCGGTGGCGATTCGCCGCCCGATGCCAGCTCCGACGCCTCCACCTCCACCTCCAGCGTCGAGGAGCTCGCCGACTCACTGCCGCCGCCGCCCCGCCCCAGCACGCGCGCATCGAGCCACCTAGTCGCGAGACCGGGCGAGATCGCCCGAGATTTGCCGAGATCGCCCGAGCAGGCTCGCGCGTCGAGCTACTTGGTCGCGAGAGACGCGTCGATCGCGTTGCGAGGGCCGTGCGCCTCGGGGCCGTCGGCGGGGAATCAGTTCATTGGTAGGTTGAGTTACTATAATTAGTTCATGTTGGTGCGCCTCGGGGCCGTCGGCGTGGAGCGACTTTGCGCCGCTGAGCCGCACCTATTGAGATGCGGCCGAGATGCGGCCGAGATGTCGCAAAGGCATCATCTCAGGAGCGCGCCACCTGCCGCCCTCCCGAGAAGAGGCGCAGCTCGCTCAGCTGCACACCTAGCGAGAAGGCTCAGGGAAGGGTCCGAGACAGGTCAGAGGATGCGCGGCTCGCCTAGCTGCACGCCGAGCGTGAGCGGGTCCGCGGCGTTCCGCACGCCGGTCACCTCGAGCCGGTAGCGGCAGTAGGTGGCTCCACCCTCCTGCCCGGAGGCACGGTGCGCGGCGGGCCGCAGGACAGCGGCAGTGGCGGCGGTGGCGGCGGCGGCGGTGGCGGAGCTGCGAAGCGGACGGAGGAGGACGGTGCCTTCCGCCGGCGCCAGCCGCGTGTCGCCCGACCGCCAGGCCTGCACCGCCTCGCGCAGCTCGGCGCTGTGCTCGCCAGCGCCGAGAGTGTAGACGACTGGCGGAGTGCGCCGATCGGCCGCTGGCGGCTCCGCAGGCACTCGCAGCGGGCCGGACGCGTCACCGTGGCGTGACGGCTCGGCTCGGAGCGCGGTCGCAGCAGGCGAGGCGGAGGAAGCTGCGCCCAACAGAGGCGGCGGTGGCGGCGGCGGGCTGCGAGGAGGGCGCGGCGGGCGCTGAAGCCGGCGGGCTGGCGGCAAGCCAGTGGCGGGGTTTCGAGAGAGAAACGAGAGGCGGTTTGGGTTGGAGGAGAGGAGGATAAAGATCGAAAGGGTCACAACAGCAGCGAGCGCCACAGCAGGTCGCCTCATCGCTGGCTACGAGAGCCAGCGCTGGCGAGCGAACCAGGTGCAGGCGAGAGCCAGCGCCTGGGGCTAGTAAGACATAGGATTCCTATAACGCACGGAGCTGGGAATAGGACCGCCGCAAGCGGCGTGGCGTGGAGCGGTTGAGCATCCCTCCGGGGGCCCCTCTGCGCCGGGGAGGCGTTGTTGGAGGCTAGGACGCAAGCGTCCGTCGCCCTTTTCAAACTCGGGGCCCACTCCGCTACGCTCCGACCCGAATTTGGAGGGCCTAAAAGTTTAAGGTGTTGCTGCGCAAAAGGGGTCGGACACAGGGCGCAGCTCATGCTAAGAGCTAGAAGGGGAGATGGAGAGAACAAGCACCCTGTCCCGTTATTGCGTACACCAGCACCACAAAAGCTCTCTCTCTCCTGTCCTCACTCACTCAGGGGGGTCACAACTACCGAGTCCCTCGACTAGCTGCCACGTTGCCGACCGAGAGCGGATCTCCTCCTGCTCCGCAAGGAGGGTGGCCAAGGCTAAAGTCTTGCCAGAGCCGCCGGGCGCGTTGACGACTTGGAGAAGGTCGCCCTTGCACTTGTACTTGTAGAGATGCTCGAGGGGGTGCTTTGTGGGGCGGTGCGCAGCCAGGCCAGCAGTGAGGGGAGGCGCACCCTCACTCTCCTCGGTTGCAGAGCTCGGCAGTCCTCGGGCGAGCCGACGCGCATGTCCAACCAGCGCTGGGACTCGTTGTGACGGCAGACGCCGGCTGCCTCTCCAACCGCTTCTGCAGCGTCCTTCTTTGCCCGGTGCATGGGCTCGATCCGATTCCGCAGCGTGTCGTCCCCAGCGGCGGTGCTGCGCGGGAGGCGGCCGCGGGCACGCTGGGCTCGATCAGCGGCTTTCCCTCAGTTGCTTGCTCCCGAAAGCACGAAAGCACGGATTTGGCGGACGTTCTTGGCTTCAATTTTACGTATTGGGAGAGAGAGAGTTGTTGTTGTTGTTGTTGCGTATTGGTGCAGCCGGCCTAAAGGCGCATCTTCCACTGGTGCGCGCCGCCGCCTATGCACGGCCCGCATGAGGGCGCCGCGCGCCGTCCGCGGTGCCCACACCATCGGGACCGGTCCGGAGCACCCAGCGATTGGAGCCGAATCGCCAGATTCGACCGCGATCCGGCCCTGGAGCGCCGCGGAGTCGAGCGTGACGACGGGATACGCGCGCTTTTTTAGCTCCATTTCTGTCCAATCGTTTGCGCCCAGACCCCTCCCATCCATCGAGGACACATGAGCAGCCTACGACTGACCCGTCTCCGGCCGTGTCTATGCGTTCGTAGGTGCGTTTGGTCCTCGGTGCGACCACTCTCGCTGCGTCGCGCGGGAGATGGCATCTCTGCTGCGTTCAGAGCGCCGGAGCTGAAGCCGACGAGTTCTCCGACAAGCAGGAAGCTCAGCAGCTGACGCGTCAGCGCTTTTCATCAGCGACGCGCTGCGCTTTTCGTCGGCCGGCGCCACCACATCTGACTCTTCGCCTCTCCTGCTGCGCCTCTCACCTCCGCCTCACCCTCCGCATCCGCTCTCGCCGCCCCGACGGATGAGGCGCGGGTGGCGCTGCTCGAGCCGGAGGCGACGCCGCCGTCGTCGGATCTGGCCAAGGCAAAGAAAATTGCGGCCGCCAGGCAATGCCTCGAGCCGTTGCTCGGTTGAGAGGTGTGTACGCATGCTGCTGACTGCGGTTGCACGAGAGCCGACATTCTTCCTCCCATTCCGCTGGCGCGCGGCGCAGGTGATCTGACTTGGGCCGCTCGAGACGGCTTTCTCAACCTGCAGCCGCATCCGCCTGCGTTCGCAGCTCTGGCTGCGCGCAAGCCACCCCCCCGATCTGCGCGTGCTGATGTGGGTTGGTAGGATGTGATGCGGACCGGTGCCGGTCTCTGTCGCGTCCTGGCGACCAATCCTAGCGCCCTAAGCCTCACTTATGCTTGGGCTTGTATAGGTGCCCCAGACCGAGTCCAGATCGAGCGCAGACCGACGCAGGCAGCCGAATTTCGCTTCGCCTGCGGCGCGCAGGGGAGGTCCGGGGGAGGAAAATCTAGTCGATTTTTCGGAAATAGTGCCAATCGATAGATCTCGCCGAGCCCTTTTCGGTGGTGTGCCTCCGAGTTTGTTTTTCGCACGGGAAGCATTTTTAGTCGTCGTAAACGTGAATTGCACGACTAGGCCGGCTGCACCAATAATGTGAGCTGAAGGCTTGCCCCCGTCGCCCGTCCACGGCCCAGATCACGCAGTTTGTGCACGGTATTCGGATTTTGCTATTTGTTCGTGTGGGGGTATATTGCAGATTTGTCAATGGTACCGCGTCTGCGACGCGGGCGCCTTGCGGGCAGAGCCCTTAGCCACCCTTTATATCTTGCGCGGTCAAAATGAACTCGCGGGCACGGGACGCGGCACAAACGGGGCACAAACGCCAGGCTACAAAGACAGCGCTGGGGCCAGCTATCACTCGATATCAGCTTTTTATTTTCCTCGTTGCAGCAGCAGCTGCCTCCGTCCTACCTGCAAAAAGAATTTGAAAGATTCCAGCACAAATGTTTCGCTCTCGCGTCCTGTGTGTCGGGCGGCGTGGCGGCCGGCGTCTGGCGACCGTCGCCGTTGGCGTGTCGGGCGGCGTCGACTCGTCGGTCGCGGCGCTGCTGCTCAAGCGGCAGGGCCACGACGTGGTTGGCGTGCACATGAGCAACTGGGACCACGCCGAGGAAGGGACGGACGGCGAGTGCGCCGAGCGCGAGCGCGAGGACGCGCGCCGCGTGTGCGAGCGGCTCGGGATCGGCTTCCACGCGGTGAGCTTCGTCCGCGAGTACTGGTCGGACGTCTTCGAGCCGTTTGTGGCGGGCATCGCTAGAGGAGCGACTCTGAACCCGGACGTCGCGTGCAACCGGCCTCCGACCCGTCTCGCGAGCAGTATCGCGTTGTCGGGAGCTCTCCCAGAGAATTCCCAAGCCTCCCCTAGGCACATCAAGTTTGACCGCTTCACCGCGCACGCGCTCGCTCTCGGCGCAGATTGGGCGGCGACCGGCCACTATGCGCGCGTGGCTCACTCGGAGGCCGGCGGGTCGGCGCTGCTAACCGCCGTGGACGCGGACAAGGACCAGACGTACTTTTTGGCGGCGGTGCCCCAGGCGTCGCTGCGCAGGTCGCTCTTCCCGCTCGGCGAGCTCAGGAAGCGCGAGGTGCGCGCGCGCCGCATGAAAATCGTAGTCTCGCTAGCATTCTCTGTATGATCACGCAAAGTGCGCTCGCTCGCCGCCTCGTTCCTTTGTCTTCTCCCTGGCTCATCTGTCTTCTGCTGTGTGAGGTGCGCGCGCTCGCCGCCGCCGCCGAGCTGCACACCGCCGGCAAGCGAGACACCCGGGGACCTGCTTCTGTGCTTTTCATTTCAGGCCGCCTGTCTTTCTTTCTAGGCAAGCGCGAGTCGATGGGAATCTGCTTCGTCGGCAAGCGCCGCTTCCGCGACTTCATCCGCTCCTACCTGCCGCCGCAGGTAGATCACAATGTGATCCAATAATGATACCGTTCGTGCGCAGTCACGGTACTCGTACACCACGCTTCCTCCGCTCCTCCCTGCCGTCGCAGCGGCCGGGGCCGCTGGTCTGCGTCGAGAGCGGGCGCGTGCTCGGCACGCACCAGGGTGTCTCGCTCTACACGCACGGGCAGCGCGCGCGCGTCGGCGGGCTCGGCGGCCGGTGGTACGTCGCCGAGAAGTGTCTCGAGACGGACACGCTCTTCATGTGTGAGGGCGCCGCTCACCCGGCTTTGCTCACCCACACCCTCGAGGTTGGCGAGGCGGCCTGGATCAGCGGCTCCCCCCCCGGCCAGCTGGACTCGCGTGCCTCCCCCTCTGCCCTCGCTTGCTCTGCTCGGGTCCGCCACCGCGCGCCGGCCATACCGTGCTCCGTCGCCGCCACCGAGCCGCCACCACCGCCGCAGTACACCGCTCGTTTCGCGACGCCGGTCAACATGCCGGGCTGTAGCTGTGGGTCTGTGAACGGCGCCTCTTCACAGCCCCTCGTGTGAACAGGTCAACATCGCCGTCGGCCAGACGGTGGCGTTGTACGATGGCTGCCGCTGCCTTGGGGGGGCGCAGGTGATCGCACGGGGGCCGTCGCTCCACGAGCAGGGCAAGGAGGCTGGAGCAGCGGCTGCGGCGCGTGGCGCCGCCAGTGTCGGACGAGGGGCCCCAGGGTGCTTACAAGCTACAGTATGTGAGTAATAAGAACGGGATGTCGATACCAGCTTGACGGCGACGTCACCAATCTTCTCGTCGACTATGCCCACAGCCGTCAGACGCATCACAAAACCCCACATGTTCATATACACATCTCAGAGTGCGGGCTTCGTTCTCTCATATCTAGAGCGCCTACATTTTAAAAATCAGTCTCGCGCAACAAGAGACGTCTCTAGTACAGCTCGTTGACGGGGGATAGCGGCTGTTCAAAGCCTAAGCGGCTAGAACGTCGCCCCGAGCCCGACTCTCTCGGCAGCGACGACGACGATGAGTCCGCGTCCTCTGCTGTTGCCTCGCCCACCGCGATGTCGGCGGCCGCCTCAACCGAGTCGGTGATGACATCGGTGAGGCCTGTGTCGAGGCCAAGCAGCTTGAGGAAGGCGGCCGGCAGCGCCACAATTACCGAGAGGACCGCGAGCGCCCACATCTTGCAGGTCACCTTCTTGTGCCCCCGCAGGCGCATCACAACGGCGACAATGAGGCCGTCGTACAGCTGGAGGACCACGGGCAAGAAGATGGCACAGAGCAGGAGCACGAGCGCGGTGCCGTTGTCCTCCGCCTGGTAGTAGAGCACCATTGTCGTCGCGAGCCCCTCGAGCATGTACTGGCTGGCCTGTGGACACATTGGCACGTCACGGACAAGATATATCGCCACGCACCCTTCCTTCTCAAGCATGTTGCTGGCCGTGACAGCGCACTCGTACCGGTCTGCGCCCGGGCCGAGCAGGAACAGGATTAGCGAGAGGACAAGCAGGAAGCCGAGCACCGAGCAGACCTGGATGATGGCGGCGCTCGAGTTCCACTCCAGTACGTCGCCGATGCCGAGCAGGACGGCCAGCACCAGCTGCGCGACGAGGGCGAGCCAATCGTACGTGATGCCAATCAGGCCTGTGGGGGCATGCACGGACACGTCACGGGGGGGGGAAGTCACGGGCGATGAGCCGTAAACACCGACGAGGCCTCCGCCCGAGGAGCGCGAGATGAGCATGGCGGAGAGGGAGCTATAGAAGTCGGAGGTCGACCGCCTACGGCGAGCAGGCGAGGGGAGAAGAGAGTGGGGCAAAGTTGTGCACTTCTGGAGGTGACACGTCCCTGGGAAGTGCGCGCCAGCGGAGAGCGAAAGGTCGGGCAAGCAGCCGTTCGGTCCGCGCCGGCTCTGTGGCGTCCTCGCCGCGCAACTCGAAGGAGCCTAAGCGGCGTCGGAGGGAAGTTGAGCTGCAGCATGGTAATCTCGGCACACCTCAGCTACATTTCGCCTCGGTACCGCTCGATTATATTGAATAGCCTCCGCCAGCAATCGCGGCAAGTGGACCGCTGCACGTTGCGCAGAATGGGGTCATGGACCTCGTCCACCGTCTGGGGTCGTGCAGGGACCCACAGCTCCTTTCTGTGGCCCCCGTAATAGAAGCGGAGGACCACCGACAAGGTCACTAGCACGTACAGCCCGACAAAGCCGAGGACGACATAGGCAGGCCAACAAAAGATGGGCTCTGGCTGCTCTGCCAACAGCGCCGCCGCCGCCTCGGTGAGACCGGTGAGCAAAATGTTGAGGCCGACGGTGAGCAAATTCGGAAAGACAAAGACGGACGGCAGCGGGATGAAGCGGACTCCGTCGGTTGTCGGCGACGGTGGCGATTTTGGACCCTTCGCAGCCTCCGCAGCCTCACGCTCGCGCGAGCTGTTGCGCCGGCGCCGAGGAGAGCTAAGGCTGGAGCTGCGAGGCTCAACCGCCGACAAGCGCGATGAGCCCCGGGCGACCAAGACCTCCACCGCCGAGGCGCGATCCACCGTCGCCTGGTGAGCGTACCAGCTGCGGTTGACGCGGTGGCGCCAGCAGCACACACCTGTTAACGGAAGGAGGTGTGAAGAGACGATGGATAAACACATGTTATCTCGGCCGCAGCTTATCTCGCCGGTGTATTGGAGCAGCAGCACAAGGGGAAGGGCGATCGCGGTGGTGACGAGCTGCTCGATAAGCGCCCAGAGGCCCTCGGGCAGAGCCGCATTGCCGCCCAGCCCATATATGCCATCGAGTCGCCGGCCGAGAGGCGCCGCTTCGGTATCGTAATCGCCAGCCGTCGCCCTGCGGCCAAACCAGTCGACCGAGCCCTTGGTCCAGGCCATGGAGCCAACGACCGCCGCCTGTGCTGCTGACTTGTTCACAGCAAGCCCGTTCAGCATCGCGAAGCGCTGCACTCCTAGCACGAGCGGCGTGGCCCCGGCGCCGCTCCCACCAGCGCTGCCAATGCTGCTAGCGAGCGATGCGCTGGCCGACGAGACCACCGCTGATACGACTGAGACGGCGACAGAGACGGCGACCGTGGCTGTGACCGTGGATGTGACGACGGGCACGATCTGGGACAGGAATGGCAGCTCGGGGAGTTCCATTGGCTGTGCCGGCGGCGTCGGCTGTGATGGAGGCGGCGGAGGCAGCGGCAGCAACGGCGGCAGCGACGGCGGCAGCGACGGCGGCGGAGGCGGCGGAGGCGGCGGAGGCGGCGGAGGCGGCGGTGGCGGCGGCGGCGGCGGAGGCGGCGGAGGCGGCGGAGGCGCTGGCGACGGCGGCGGTGATGGCTCCCTTGGCGGCGAATGTGGCGGCGGGTGCAGACGCTTTGCGTAGCATCGGAAGCCGCTGCAGTCGAGGCCGCCGCACTGACCCGAGGTTTTTGCCGTGGCGATCGGCTGGGTGTGGAGCTCGCACAAGCTCTCACCCGCCTCGGTGAACACCTCAAAGGCAACGCACCACGCCTCATCCGTGCAGAGCCGCTCGCACTCAACCCGCCCCACCTTTCGCCTCGGCTCATCGTAGGTGCCAGACCCACCGCTCTCTGTGCGACATGCGCCGGCGCCGAGAAAGAGGAAGGGCGAGGGCGGTGCGGGAGGCGGCGATGGTGGCTGCGGGGGTGGCTGAAGGGGCAGCGGGGGCGGTCGCTCGGGCAGCGGCGGGGGCGACGATGGCGGCGGTGGCGACGATGGCGGTGGTGGAGGCGGCGGCGGCGGATGCCAGGGAGGTGGCGCTGGCGGACTCCCGGGCGTACCAGCTGCGGCATAGGCTGCCGCGCCAATCGCGGCCAGGTCGGCGACGGGGCCTGCGGCATAGGCGAATGTGACGGTGGCGCTGTCGCCCTCGCTGATCTCGGAGAGCGGGAGGAAGAGACCGTACGAACCGTCATTCTTCACTTCGCCGCTGAAGCGTGTCTCAGGATCGAGAGCAACTATATTGCTGAAGGTGCAACATCTGGCGACGAGGGCGCGGGCGCCCGCGTCGGGGCTGAATAGGAGGACGCCCTCCGACCCCGATGTAATTTGAACTGCATTGCCGGTGGAGTCGGTGGCCACCACGAACGTGCCATCGCTCGTGAGATCCCCCACCGCCTTTGCCGGCTGGTCGGTTTCCCCAACCCAATCATCGCGCGTCCCCCACCAGATGCGGACATCGCGAGCGCTGCCAGCCGACGCCGAGACGGTGAAGCTCACCGCAAGTGATCGCGAGGAGGGCGCGCGGAGGCTGTAGGCTCGAGTGAGGGATATTGTGGTGCCAGCCTCCTCGCCTGATACTGCGCACGTCTGCGAGGTAGAGATGGTGCCGTGGCCGAGGCGGCGCCCGTCGCCCAAGTCCTCGTCCTCCAAAAAACCAGAGAAATCGGCCGTCTGTGTGCTTGCGCTGTCCCGCAGACAATCCTCCTGCTGCACGCCTCCGATGGAAAGCGCAACGCTCATTGGATAGCTTGAGTAGCTGAGCTGCGTGAACTGTCCGTCAATGCGGGTGAAGGGCTGTCGAAGGGCGTCCGTCGAGCCGCTCACGCCCGCGCCAGCGATGGAATCATGGGTGCCGTCCCCAAACCTGAGGAAGTCGCTCTGGAGGATGGTGGCTGTGGACATGATGAGCTTCGGCAAAGAGCGGAGTGAGGCCTGACGGATGCCAGTGGGACGCACGAGCGGACGTGCGTGGCGGAGTGTGAACTCCTAAAAGGGACGCGCCCGAAAGGGCCGGGAGATGACGATGATTACGGCTTTTTGTGTCTGAGGACGATCGTGAGAGTTGTGTTCTCTTGTGTGATTGTGTGTGTCATCTGTGAGCTGACATGTGAGGCCTATGAGAGTTTCTATATGAGCCGTGAATCGGGCCGTGTACGACGGCAACTCGAGGCGGTATCCAAACACACCAAATAAATAAATAAATAAACTCTCTACTGTGCGAGGTGGGTAAAAAAGAACAGGTCCCCGCCCAAACTAAACACACACCGGCGGCGGAAAGTGCCAGACGGGTTTCCTTTTCATGGCGCTCAATAACAAAATCGCGCAGGCGCGAATGAAACGAAATTGCTTGACTCCATAAAACGACACCCGGTTCTCCAATCAGGGAGACAGCCCGGCGAGCGTGTGCTCCTTGCCGATGACGGCGCTGTAGCAGTCGTCCGCGCACCAGCACGCCCGCTCGATCGCCTCGCGCTGCGCGGCCGTGAGGTCCTCCTTCCCTCCGCCCACCTTGCCGCGCCGCACAAAGGAGAAGCCGTCGGCCTTGTCGACCCACGCGACGCTGGTCGGCGCAAAGGCGGCCTCGTGCTCCTTCATCCACGCAAAGGTCATGCGGGGCAGCAGCTTGCCGAGCTCCGCGTCAGAGTAGCCGAGGCCAAGGTGCGCCGAGAGACGCGCCACGCAGCCGGCGAGGTCCGCGATCATGTCCTCGTAGCGAAGGAGGAGCACGCGCGGGTCTGCGGCGGCGGCGGCGAGCCAGGATCCCACGTGTCGCCGCCACGTCCCGAATGCGATCTCGCCAGCCACCCACTGGGTCACAAACCTGCGCCGAGAAGAGACCAGAGTCGGGGAGTGGGTGCGGCCTCGTGCCGTGCACTCGCAGCACGAGAGGGCTACGGATACAGTGAATACAACTGAACAAGTGCTGTTGAGAACGTGTCCTCTCGAGCGCTGTGTCGGAATGCACAACTCCGTATTGAAAGCACAACTCCGTATTCAGCATCTGCGGTCACTCACTGCTCCAGGCTCCCGGTGAAGCCGCCGTCCTCGGGCGCCATGTGCGAGAAGTGGTGCCACATCGAGCAGCAGGCGTCCGAAGGCTCGCGCACCACATAGACAAGGCGCGCGGCGGGCGAGGCCGGCAGCATCGCGTGCAGCACGTGCGTGTTGAAGGCTCGCCAGCCGAGCCGCTGGTGGTGGGAAGCGGCCGGATCCGAGACGCGGCCGCCGTCAGCCCACGTGCGGTCCGCCTCGAGGAAGGGCGAGAAGGTCGAGATGTGGTCGAGCTCCGCCCCGCCGGTCACCAGCTGGTACACCACGTTCTGGAGCCAGGTAGTGCCCTGACAGCATCAAGCAGCTGAGTGGAGGAGCGAACCTCCCGCTTCTCACGGGAAACGTGTGCGTGTTCGCTAGCGCTCGTGAGGAGCATTGCGTCCTGCGGGCGGCGACCACCGGACCGGAGCCTGGCGAGGGGAGTACGGTGACGCTGCACGATCGGGGCGGACTCACCGATTTGGGGTACGACGCGATGAAGACAGTCCGTGCGTCGGCGGCGAGGCTACGGATGTTGGCGAGCGTCTGCTGGCTCGTGATCGGCAGCAGCGGGAAGGGCTCCTCCGTCGCCCCCTCCTCCTCCTCGACGTCAGCCACCATTTCTGCGCCGCTCTCCTCCGCCACTGCCCTGAGCGCGTCGGCGAGCGACCGGTTGAAGGCGGCGGCGAAGCACGGGCTGAGGTTGAGGAGCAGGCTGTTGACCGAGTCGTGTGCGCTGTCGCCCGAACGCACGCCACGGTGGCTGAGGGAGACGTCGATGGTGGTGCCCTCCAGCAGCGTGACGGTTGCCGTGGCCCCTGCGCCATCGCGGGACGCCGGCGTCACCGCCTGCACCCCGAACCGGATCTCGTCGAGCTGCGCGTCGAGCTCGTCTGCGAAGGCCGACATATACGTCAGCTGTCGCCGTCGCCGTCGCTCTCGCCGCCGCAGCAGCAGCGATCGAGCCTGCGTCGCGTTGCCGAAAGGCGTGAGGAGCGGCACACACCTCAGGGCACACACACACCGAGCACCGCGATAGGCGGGACCCCACGCAGCTCGCAGGGAACCGTCTGGGCTCTAGTTACCCCAGTGTCGTGCTGTGAATAAACAGCGAAGAAGACTACGGTCTACGCCTGAAAAATCCGCACGCACAAACAAAGAAACGTAAGGAGGGAGAACGCCTTCTCATCATCGCCGCGACAGAATATATCGGTTTTGAGAGAGATTTGTCGGTTTTGGGAGCCGAATTTGTGTTGCGTGGGGTTGAAGCATGTGCATGAAGGGACAAGGGTGGACGGCACTCGACGGCCTCGCCAGCGGATGGGGGATGGAGCATCGCAGCTGGAACGGCCCGAGACACGGAAATCGAGTGTGTAGCGACATCCAAGTTTGAAAAAAAGTCAGTCCCGCCCGGCGCCCGGCTCACGCGCGCGGCGCGCCCGAAAGAGCATCCGGAGGGGCGTGCCCTGGAAGCCGAGCGCCTTGCGCAGCGCGGACTCGAGGTAGCGGCGGTAGCTCTGCGAGAAGAGGTCGGGGTCGTTGACAAAGATGACCACCGTCGGGGGCCGCACCGAGACCTGCGCGCAATAGTAGACCGCGCCCTGGCGGCCGGTGGAGGTGGAGGGAGGCCTCTGCCACCGCACGGCATCCTCGAGCACCTCGTTGAGCACCGCCGTCTTGATCCTGCGGCGGTGCGTCGCCGAGGCGCGGTCGAGCGCGCCAAAGAGCGAGGACGCCTTGAGGCCCGTCTTGGCCGAGACAAAGAGGAAGTCGGCCCACGGCGTGCCGCCCGTCGCGAGGGCGGGCAGCCCCGACGCCATCAGCCGCTTGGCCTCGCGGTACTTCTTGTCGTCCTTGGCGGAGACGGCGTCCCACTTGTTGACGGCAACCACGACGGCGCGGCCCGCCTCGGCGGCGTACTCGGCGAGGCGGCTCTCCTAGTCCGAGAGAGATTGGGCCGGCGTGAGCTCGGGCGATGTCGGGCGATGTCGGGCGATCTCGGTTGCTCTCCTGGTCAGAGACGCCGTCGGTCGCGTCGAGGACGAGCAGGCACACGTCGCTGCGCTTGACCGCCTTGAGCGCCCGCCGGACCATCAGCGTCTCGAGGGCGGCATCGCGACCGCCGCCGACGCGGGCCGCACGCCGCACGCCGGCGGTGTCGAGAAAGAGGTACCTCTTTCCATCCACCTTGACATCCTGCTCGACGACGACGCAGGGTGAGATCTTGCTCGCACTTGATGGTGAGACATCACGATACGAATCATAGAGTTCATCCTCAATCGCCGCTGGCCGCCTGGTCGATCACGTCGCGCGTCGTGCCTGCGATGTCAGAGACGATGGCGCGCTCCGAGCGCGTGAGCCGGTTGAGCAGCGAGGACTTGCCCACGTTTGGCTTGCCTACACCCGAGCCGGTTCCGAGAAGCGTCGGAGGGCAGCGGGCGACTGGTGTGGACTGGTGTCCAGGAGGCGACACACGGCGCGGCTGGATCTCGCAAGGAATCTCGGCGAGATCTCGGCGAGTTCGCGGCTAGCGCTTGCCCAAGATCGCAACCCGCAGCGGCAGGTCCTCCTCCTGGGACAGCTCCGCGTCCCTCCGCGCCGCCTCACGCGCCTCCTCGTCCGAGTAGAAGCCGTCGGTCGCCTGCGAGAAGGTTCCGAGAAGGTTCACGGAAGGTTGCAGCGCCTCCATCGACAGAGCAGACGTCGTCCGTCGCCTTGTCCGGCACCGTCCGAGGCAGCGGCGCCGTCAGCGCGTCCATCAGCTCCCCCATCCCCGTGCCGTGTATGCCGGAGACCGGGTGCGGGGTCCCCATCCCCAGCTGCCAAAAGTCGGCCGCCTGCAGCTCTCCCGTCTTTTCGCTCTCGCACTTGTTGACGGCGAGGACGCACTTGACGCGCTGCCGCCGCATGAAGTCGGCGATGTCGGTGTCGAGGGGCGTGCAGCCCGCCTGCCCGTCCACCACGAGCAGCGCCACCGCCGCGTCGCGAAGCGCCACGATCGCCTGCTGCCGGATCTGCGGCATGAAGACGTGCTCCGCGTCGTCATCAAAGACGAGGCCGCCCGTGTCGACGACGGTGAACTCGTGCGCGGCCCACCAGCCGTCCGCGTAGGTGCGATCGCGCGTCACGCCAGCCTCATCGTGCACGATGGCGCCGTCCGCGTACTGCTGCGTGATCCGGTTGGCCAGCGTCGACTTGCCGACGTTCGGGCGGCCCACGACGACGACGTTGGGCCTGCGGCCGGCCGCCAGCCCGCCCACGCCCGAGACCAGCAGCAGCGGAACGAGCAGGAGCGCTGATCGCGCCACCACTGCGTCCATTATCAGCAGAGCGGCGACGAGCGCGCCTCCAGCGACGAGCAGATCTGCTCTCGAAAAGAAATTTTCCGCGCCACACTGGGCACGGGATGCGCGACGGCTAGCGCACCACACCCCTCTTCTTAAAATCCCTGTGTGGTGGCGGCGTGCCGTCCTCCCATCCCTCCCTTGGGTTGCCCGTTTTCTTTCTTTCTTTCTTGGGAGATAGAAAGGCGGCTCGCATAGCGCCCGCGCGCTCTTGCTCGCGCTCGCGCGCGCGCGCGTTCGAGCGAGCGAGCGAGCGAGCACACACACACACACACACACACACACACACACACACACACACACTCCTACCTCCCCAGAAATCCCGAGGAGGCGCACAGCGCCTAGATATGTCTTGTGTTGCTGTGTGCTGCACGCCCTGCGAGCGGGGCGGGTCACGGGGCGGGAGGGTGCGCACTGGTCCCTCTGTGTTCGTGTGCGTCGCCCATCTCTCCCTGGAGATGACTGCTCTATTTATTTATTTATTCGGGAGATAGAAAGAGGCAGACGACCAAGGGTTAGGGTGGGCGACGGCTAGCACCACACCCCTCTCCTTAAAATCCCTGTGTGGTGGCGGCGTGCCGTCCTCCCATCCCTCCCTTGGGTTCTGTGTTCTTTCTTTCTTTGGCACGGGACTGGCGCGCACTGGCACTAACACAGGTACACCGCTCGAAAAGAATTTACATGCATCCGTACTAGTAGGTCAACTCTGTCACCACAAAGAAGAAATTTCGGGACGGCGCGCACTACATAACAGAAATAGAAACAATTTGATAAGCCTGCGTTGGCCGAGCTGCGCGCCGTTCTACTCGAGTAGCCAGCCGACAGCTTTGGGGCGGCGCCGCGGGCCATCAGTTCGCCGCTCGTTTGGGCGTGAAAGCCGGGCGCCGCAGTTAGGGACCAAGACGCGTAGGGATACACGTAAGGACCGCGTCAGTGTCTGCGGCCCCTTCCCTAAGACATAATGGATAAAGTACGGGGTGTGTGTAGGACTACGGGAGGCGGCAGTGGCATGTGTTAGTTGTGTTATACGCGCACGGAGGGGCATCGCGCATCGGCGGATAGGCCGATGACTTTTAAAGGACTTGTCCTTTACAAAAGGACACCTTGATCTCGCGTTTTCGCTCCCATTGAGCTCTCTGCAAGCCTCTCCTGGGCATTGAGGTATGCTACCATGTCCACCTGACAGCCTCCAGGCGGCGGGGTCACGACCCAGCCCAAGCAACACATTCAAAACCGACCCGGTGACGTACCCGCAACCGCTTGTCCTTTACGCCCGCTAGTCCTCATCACTGTCTACAATCACCTGCCGCTTGCGTAGGGGGGGGGGCTGCAGCCTGGGAGGAGGGCGCTGCAGGCCGCTTGGCACCTTTGGACACGCGCCCAAGCACTCTCTTCACCATCTTCTTCACTATGAGCCCGCCCGGTTTTGAGCTTGCGTCCCAGTCGCTGCAGCGGCTCTGTCAGCGGACTAATCTTGCGGTAGCGGCGATCAATTGCGTGCTGCTGCTTGGCGTTGCGCCTTCGGGGAAGGATGTGGTCCTCCTCTGTCAGCTGGCTGTTGGTGGTGAAGATGCGTGGCATGTACTGCGGGAGGGTGCCATTGTTGTAGCGAGCGGCATTTGATGCGCTCGCTTGGCGGTGAGCTGGCTCAGCACGTCTTCATTCGAGAGCTCGCCGCGGCCGAGAGCGGCGTACGTCAGGTGGTACTTGCGGGCGGGTTGATGACGCTCACGTCGGCCGGGGCACCACCCACTAGCTGCATGATCACCGGCTGGTCACTGATCACCGATCACCGGCCTTTGGAGAGTTCTATAGGACTTACTTATTCAGACGGTGATCGGTGATCAAGTTTCGGCGGCACGTAACGTCCAAAACAAGGCCACGACTGTCGTCCCCCGGCACCACCGGGCACGGGGAAGTCGCGAAGGGCAAGTGGAGTGCGGGAGGTACGACTGGGCCGGCGAGCGGGGGCGCGTGGCGCCCTTCATGAACCTGTCCTTTTAGTTAGGACAAAAATCTTTTTAAAAGGACACATGGGGCTATCCGTCGGCCCTGCACGTATAATCGCATGTGTGGCGCCCAGGGTACACCGTACAACACAAGCCACAACCGCGCAGAGAACAGACGAGAGGGCGACTGTGTGTGATCTGTTACGTTTGGCTTAGTTTTGGGACACGTATTACCGGACTATGAGAGTTACAGCAGTAAGAGCGACCCAGGACACCACCACCGCACCAGCACCAGGCTGACATACCTTCTCACCGAGTCCACCCCGGCAAGCAGATCACTCCTCTCCGAACTCCGCCGGCACAGCCCGCTCATACGCGCGCGCGATGCTCCAGCTCCTCACGCTGCCCGCCGCGTCGGCGGAGGCGACGCCCTCGGGCCCGACCGAGGCGAGAGCCGTCACGGCGCCGAGGTGGCCCGCGAGGCGCGCGACGAGCCTCCGCTGCCGCAAGTCCCACACAGCGACGCTGCGGTCGGCGCGGTCGCCGCCGCCGCCCGCCGCGAAGAGCGCATCGCCCGAGAGCGCGAGCGCGTCCGCGAGCCCGCGCCCCGCCTCGAGCGAGCAGACGGCCGCGCTGCGCAGCCGCAGGTCCCACAGCCGCACCGTCCCTGCCGCCGTCGACCCCGCCGCGCAACACCCGCTCGCACTCGACACCGCGCCGCCGCCGCCTCCCCCGCCATCGTGCCAGACGACGTCCGCCACCGCCGCGTCCGAGCGCAGCAGCGTGCGCGTGCGGCGAAGTCCGTCGGCCGCCATCTCCCACAGGGCGACAGTGCCGTCGGAGGAGCCTGTCAGAGCGAGCGGCGGCGCAGGCAGCCCACCCGCTCCCGCTCCCTTTGCCGCGAGCGCAACGACGGGGCGAGAGTGGGCGCGGGTGGCGGCGACAGGCGAGGCGGCGGCCGGCGGCGACAGCTGCGAGCCCAAGCCGCCCGCCCCCTCCTTTTCCCCGTCCGCTGCCTCCTCCCCCTCCCGCCAAGCCAGCTGGGACAAATGTGAAGACGTGTCCCACAGCCGCAGCTCCCTGTCGGCTCCCGCGCTGAGGAGGCGGCAGCGGCCAACCCAGCCGACGGCGCCGACCCAGCTGCCCGATCCCGCAGTGAGCTGCGTCGGATGGGGCCGGCGACGCGTCCGCCCGGCGTCGCTCTCCTGCAGTGTGAAGACACCAGAGTCTGGGCGGGAGTACGGTCTCGCTCAATGCATTGGAGCACCGTGTGGATACAAGGGCTGCAAATACAACGAATACAGCTGACTGCGTGTCCGCTCGAGTCGGAAGACAAAGATGTGTGCTCAGCCTCTAGGTTCGCTCTCCTCCTGCCCCTCACTCTTCTGCGCCGCGCTCGCCGTGCGTCGCCCCCCTGCCGGAGGAATCGCCCACAGCCACAGGCTCCCGTCCGCACAGCCGCTCGCGAGAGTCTCGCGTCCGTCCAGCGCGAGGCAGCGCACCTGCAGGAAGGCCCGAGATCACACGAGATCTGAGATTCCCCAAGATTGCCCGTCCAGCGCGAGGCTGCGCACCGGCCGGCCGTGGCGCAATGTGGCGACGCCCGCGAGCCTGCGCTGTGTCTCCCACACGACCACCGCGCCCGAGTCGTCGGCCGACGCCAGCAGCGGGCCCGCCGTCGTGTCGGCCGCTGCGGCAGTGAGGGCACAGCAGCGGGCGAGCGTACCGTGGCGATGCGCGCGACCGTACGCGCCTCCCTCAAGTGCGCGCTTGTCGCAAGCGCCGCGCCGCCACATCTCGAGTCGGAGGGCGGAGGCATGTCCGCGCCGCGCCCGCCACATCGGACTAGCAGCGGCCCTCAGCGCCAGCCGCCGCCCGCGCTGCGAGGTGCAGCGCAGCGCGGCGAGGTCCGGCAGCGGGAGGAAGGAGAGCGAGTGCAGCAGCACGTCGGAGGGAAGCTCGAAGAGCGAGCAGAATTGCATGGTGCGATCGCTTTTCTCGCGTTGAGGCTGGTCGTCGGGTAGAGTACTCGCGGCTGAGGGCGGAGCCGCCTAATCGACTCCTGCGAGGATGGCGAGGCACTAGCTCCGTGCTCGACGCTCGCCTGCACAGGAAAAAGAAAAAGCACCACAACTGCTTAAAATCCCTGTGTGGTGGCGGCGTGCCGTCCTCCCATCCCTCCCTTGGGTTGTCCGTTTTGTTTCTTTCTTTTACTGGCGCGCACTGGCACTAACACAGGGAGAAAAGAAATGACGCTTCTGCCCAGCCCTTCTCCGTGTCGCATGCGCCCCCACTCACTCCCGTTCCCTTGTGCCCTTGTCGTCCTTCCAAGATCCATGCTTGCTCCCCTCCGCAAGGAGCAAGCAAGGAAGGTAGGGATCCATCCATCCGTCCGCGATTCGCCACCTCGAGCGTTCGCCACAGGCAGGCACGCACGCCCCGCCGTGGGTGAGCTGGAGAATGGAGGAGCTCTGCGCTACGGTACCGCGGCTAGTGCTCGCCAGCAACAAGACAGCAAGTGCAGCTCGGCATCTGGTCATCCACTACCACTCGGCTGTGATGGGTCGGGACGCCGCGAATGATGTACGAAGTGCCATCTTGTTGCCAATACTTACTGATGTGCGAAGAGAAGAGAAAAGGACCTGGCGCGCGCCTCCACGCTCCAGCTCGACAGCAGAACTCGGCCTGTTCACTATACAAGATGACGCTCGTATAACGAAAGAACCCGCGACACCGACGGCGGAGCGCAGTCTATCGTCGTGAGAGGATGTCATGAGGTGCGTGCGCCCTGGTTGAGGCCCTGGAGGTGGAGCCGCCCTGGAGCTCACAAAACGCAGAAAGGGACAACCACACGGTACTCTTCATGTGCAGGTGTGCACACGACATGCACATGACCTGTGCATGCACATGTGCATGTGCATGTGCGTGCAGTTGCAAGCTAGGAGCGGGTTGGGGTGTGAACACATTCTAAGGCCGTCATCCGCCGCACGCTGCTGCTGCTGCTGTCACGGCCACCGCTTCCGCCTCTTTCAGCTCCGAAACACCTCTCTCCCCGGCCCCTGCCGCGCCAAAACCGAGGGAGCGCATCCAAGCTACGCACGGCTCGGCCCAGAACCTCCGCAGCCCGAAGCCGTGCCCGCCGAAGTCCCCCAACAGGTAATGGACGTTTGCGCCGGCCCGCTCGGCGGCCTCCACAAAGGGCGCGGTGTCGAGCTCGGGCGGGCAGACCTAGAGGATGGATCTTTGGTCACCCGCACTGAGGTATGAATCCGTGTCGAGCGGAGGCGCGCGCAGACGTCGTCGCTCGTCGACGCGACCAGAAAGGTGGGCGGCGGGCGGACGAAACGGGGCCCCGCCACCACCCGCTCCTTTGCGCTGTGCAGAGACCGCACCTGCGCCGTCGCAACATCTGCCCGCCTGCCGGACATGTCCTCGGCGTGTCGTGGACGCGTCGTGGACAGCCGCCGCGGGCCCTCCGCAGCCTCCGCGAGCCAGACGCCGCTCTCCTCCTCCTCCTCTCGGACAACCTCGGCTCATCTCGGCTCACCTCGGCTCATCTCGGCTCATCTCGGCTATTCTCGCCAGAAGCCGCTCTCCTCCTCGTCCAGCCAGCCGTCAGAGTTGCAGATGCAAGGGTAGATGAGCGCCTGGGCGTCGGCTCGGCCATCGCCGCTCTCCTTCTCGCCGCCGCCGCCTACGCCGCCGCCATCCTCGCCGCCGCCGCCGCCACCCTCTCTCTCGCCGCCCTCGCCGCCGCCGCCGCCGCCGCCGCCGCCACCCTCTCCTCCCGATGGCCTCTCCGCCGCCGCCGGCACGCCGATCATGGCGCACCCCGTGGCGATGAGGTGTCCGCCCGCCGAGAAGCCGATGGCGAGCACCGGCCCACCTGGAGCAAGGGGCCGACAAAGGTCAGGGAGGGCTCGGGGAAACCGCTGTGGCATGGCACTTGTTTGGGCCGTTGGCTGTCGTGCGCGCGTACTGCACGGCGCGGCGGAGGTCGTCGTGCGCCTAGTGCAAATACCGTGGGGTAGGGGAGGGTGGGTTCGGGTACCGTGGGGTAGGGGATGGCGGCGGAGGTCGTGCGCCTGGTGCAAGCTGTGCCTACGGGACATGTCAGGGACGGGTCATGGACATGTCCAGGAAACGTCGCATGCCCGGTGCAAGCAGCGCCTCGGGAGGAGGCGGTACCGCAGCACGTACGCGCGCAAGGAGAGCGCCTGTTCACGGATGGGCGCATGAAAGAGGTCTCTTCAGATCGGCAAGGCTCGCGGGCAGGGGGAGCGCCTCGGCGAAGTAGCGCGCGATCGGAGCCCCCTCGCGCGGGTGGAGGAACTCGTAGTTGCCCCCGGGGCAGACGAGGACGGCCCCCCTGCAGCAGGCGGGCTCGCCGCCCGGAGGGAGGAAGGGGAGCAAGGCGGGGCCGCCGTCTCGGAAGAGCGGGTCGTCTGCGAGGGGCGGGAAAGGCCGCCCTCCTCCCCTGCCGCGCTCATCGCTGAGCTCGATCCAGTCGGGCAAGTCGCGCCACTCTCGGCGGCTCGCCTAAAGGAAAACGAGAAGGTTTATGGAAGGGGCCTCGGCAGGTCGCCCCACTCTCGGCGGCTCCGCCAAGTAGCGCGGCTGCGGCGAGGGCTCGAGGGCGGCGCCGTCGAGGCCAAGGAGCGGACCAGCGACCGCGTTGGCGCCTGCAGGAAGGGCCAGACAAGGTTCGGAGAAGGCTGAGAGGGGGAGCGGGCAAGCGACCGCGCTGGCACCCGGCAGCGGCGGCCGTCTCGCTCTCGGCCGGCGGCCTCTCGCCTTGCGGCTCGGCTTGGCCGCCGCGCCTCCCTTCCACGACCGCTCCTCGAAGCCAAGCGCCAGGGCGGTGGGCAAGAGAGCGGCCCGGTCGAGCTCCGCCCAGGACCTAGGCGAGGTTCGGCGAGGTGAGCCGAGACCTAGCCGAGATCGGCCTGGTCGAGCTCCCCAGGACCAGGGGATGTCGCTCCAGTCCTCCTCGCACCCGTCGCGCCCATCGGCCTCTGGGTCGTCGCCCCACGTCCCGCGCACGAACCTGCGTCGCGAACACACCAGAGTCGGGGGCGGGGGGGGGGTACGGCCTTGTGCCGTGTATTCAGAGCACCGCGTGCAAGGGACACGACTAGAGAGGAGTACGAGAACGGCCGACTACGTCTCCCCTCAAGTGCCGTTGGGTATGTGTGCGTCTGTATCTCCCGCATCCTCTCGGCGCACACACCGGAGCCTCTCTGCCAGCTCTCGCTCAGAGGCAGACAGCGAGGACCACGGCTTCTCGCATGGCTTTGCTGGAGGCGGGGCACGGCTCTTCTTCTTCTTCTTCTTCTTCTTCTCGCCCACGCTCAGACCCGCGAGCGCTTCGACGAGCTCATCAGCAGCCGAGCCCTCAGAAGAAGCCGCTGCCGCCGCCGCCGCCGTCGCCGCCGCCTCAATCGTCGCCGTCGCCGTCGCCGTCGCTGCCGCCGCCGCCGCTGCTGCCGCGTCGGCGCAAGCCCGATCCGCCAGCAGCGCCCGCACCGCCGGCAGGATCGCCGCCGCCTGGAGCCCGGCGAACGCGTGCAGCTCCTCGCGCCGCCAGCGCGGGTCGAGCAGGCACCGCAGCGGCACCGACTCCACTCGCTCGAGGGTCGAGTCGTGCAACGGGTTCGGCGGCCTGCGTCGTGCATACACCAGAGTCAGGGCGAGGGCTACCGACTACCGTCTATTCGGGACATCGCATGAAGACAGTCGACTCTGCGTCAACTCTGCGCTAATTAGGTGTGTGTTCCGCGTCTAGGTTCGGCGGCCCGCCCAGCGCGCTGATCCGTGCGACCAGGTCCGCGTCCTCCGGGCCCAGCTCATGCAGAAAGAGCGCGAACTTGGACTGCGGCGCCCACGCCACCGGCCTAGCGCCGCCCTCGATCGCGGCGTGTGCGGCAGAGGAGAGCAGATAACCAGTCTCCTCCCAGCACTCTCGCGCGGCCACCGCTCGAGGCGTCTCAGCCCAGGAGTCGCGCTTGCCACCCAGGAAATTCGCCTTCGCGCCGGTCGTCTCGCCGCGCCTCTCGACGGCGAGCAACATCCTCGGCTCTCCGCCGCTCACCTCGTGCCAGAGCAGCGCTCCAGCCGCGCAAAAGTTCGCCGCGTCAAGCTCAAGGAGCTCGCCGTCGTCGGCGACGTACGAGCTTGGCGTGACCGGCTTGCCCCTCCAGGGCCGCTCCGCGGTCATGGAGAGACTCCGGCAGAGAGTCGCCCTCGGATAATTCTTTTCTGGCGGTGCTGAAAAAGAATGTCGAATTCTCCCATCGACTCACACCCACCTCAGTAGGAGGCCCGCGCCTGCCCCCGTGCCGCCGGGTGCAACCCGTTTTATTCAGTTTTATATCTTTATTCTCTCTGTGACACACTGTGTTCTCTGTCATCTGTGAGGGTCCGCCCGCAGGCGCATTTTGTATACCGAGGCGGTGCCCGGTGCCGAACCTGTCTCTCTAGTAGCGACAGAGGTCAGAGCTGCGCGGGGAGTCGGCTGTCGCCTGTCGGGAGAGGCAGTGTCTGGCAGGCAGGCTGCTGCGCCCAGGTATGTTATGTGGCCCGCGGAGAGCGGAGCGCGGCTGTGCGGCGTGTCCCGCTGTGGGGGCTGGGGCGCCGCGGGGAGGCCGGAGCCAGGCCGGAGCGTCGGGGCCGTCGCGACAAACAGGTCAACACTCAGCTCTCACAGCCGACTCAAAGGCGACCCACACCAACGCGAGCGGGCAACACCGACCCGCAGCGCGGCCGCGAGGACCGCTCTCATCTCTTTCGCAGTGGCGAAATCGTCCCCCTGTTGTGAAGGATGTGTTGCTCGGCTTTTTCTATCCATCTTCCATGGAGAAAAAGCAGCCAGCGCGTCTGGGTCTCTTGGCACCGTGGAGTGCTGGGGGGGGCGACAGGGAGGATGTGGCCTTGAGTTATGTGTTTGCCGACTCAGGGTGTGTGGCAGCCATCTGGCTGTGTGTCTTGTGAGCTTGTTTGTGTCTGTGTGTCGCTCGTGCGTGTCGTCATCATCTGTCCAGCGTCCACCCATACCGCGTTGGTGTCCAGTCCGAGCCTGGCTGTTCTTCACCTTACTACCTACCTACCTAAAAACTGGATAATTCTCCCATCGACTCACACCCACCTCAGTAGGAGGCCCGCGCCTGCCCCCGTGCCGCCGGGTGCAACCCGTTTTATTCAGTTTTATATCTTTATTCTCTCTGTGACACACTGTGTTCTCTGTCATCTGTGAGGGTCCGCCCGCAGGCGCATTTTGTATACCGAGGCGGTGCCCGGTGCCGAACCTGTCTCTCTAGTAGCGACAGAGGTCAGAGCTGCGCGGGGAGTCGGCTGTCGCCTGTCGGGAGAGGCAGTGTCTGGCAGGCTGCTGCGCCCAGGTATGTTATGTGGCCCGCGGAGAGCGGAGCGCGGCTGTGCGGCGTGTCCCGCTGTGGGGGCTGGGGCGCCGCGGGGAGGCCGGAGCCAGGCCGGAGCGTCGGGGCCGTCGCGACAAACAGGTCAACACTCAGCTCTCAGCACTCAGGCGACACCGACGCGACCGGCGAGCGGGCAACACCGACCCGCAGCGCGGCCGCGAGGACCGCTCTCATCTCTTTCGCAGTGGCGAAATCGTCCCCCTGTTGTGAAGGATGTGTTGCTCGGCTTTTTCTATCCATCTTCCATGGAGAAAAAGCAGCCAGCGCGTCTGGGTCTGCGCCCTGCGCGCGCCACAGAGAGTGCACGTGTGCACGAGTATTTCATCCAAACAGGATGCCGAAGAGGAGAGGTGCGAAGAGGGCCGCCGCGCCGGCCGTGTACGCGACGTTGAAGAGCTTGGGGACGAGGCGCTGCGAGGGCGTCGCTCGGGCTGAGCGGCAGCGCAGCCGTCTCGCGCGGGGAGAGGCGAACCGCGAGTGTGGGAGGCGGCACCTGGACGGCGAGCAGCCCGAGATAGACGGGGCCAAAGCCAAGGATGGCGAGCGACGCGGGACCCTGCAGCTCGGTCACTCGCCAAGGGTCGACCGCCCGCTGCAGCCGCAGAAACTGTTCCTCCTTCTCGCCGTAAGATCCCTCGTCCCACCCGCCCTGCGCCTTGAGCGCGGCGCGCTTCGCAAGGACCCGCTCCATCAGCTCCTTGCGCAGCTCATCGCTGGGCATGCCGCTGTAGTCTGTCGCCAGCTCCAGCAGCGCGTTGATGCTGCTGAGCACCGTCGAGCCGTCGCTGGCAGCGAGGTCTGACTCGGCGGTGCGCAGGCTCTGCAGGAAGGCGGAGTCGGCGCGAGCGGCGCGCGGGGCGCCGAATGTCGAGAGCGCCGCCGCCGCAGGTGCGGCGAGCACGGCTCGCCGCCCGAGAGGGACGAGCGAGGCCGGGAGGAGTGCAAAGCTCGCGGCGAGCAGCATTTTTTTAGAAAAAGAAATTCCTGCCTTCTTAACTCTGCGACGAGAGCCCCTAGACGCCCCGCGCCTCCACCTCGCTTCAGGCATGAGAGAGCAGACGCTCCTTGCATTGCAGCAGTACGTCTCCCTCTCGTAGGCAAACAACTAAGCTGATCTGAGCCCCCGATCTCAGCTCCCTTCAGCTCTCGCGTCGCCCACTGCAGCTGCGTCACGAAGGCGGCGAGGGTAGCGGGCCTGTCTGTGGTGGAGTGGTCCCCGGTTTGCAACCATCTGGTTGACGGTTGAGACCCCCCCTCAACCCTTTAGTTGAGGGTTGAGGCCTCCGGGGCCTATTCACAGGCTCGAGCGTGATCACAAGATAAACTGGAAGAGCCTGCCACCAAAAAATCGCTTCGCCTGCGGCGCGCTCTTGCGCTCCTCGGACCATCCTCGAGCGCAATCCATAAGTAGGAGACGCTCACTGTCGCCATTCAGGCGCCTGATCTCTCTCAGCAAAGCGATGGCCTACCTGGTACGAGTTCAGATGCGCGCCCGGCAGAAGACGCGTGTGATGCCGCATGCAGTGGAATGCGCACAGAGAACGGACGGCAAGAGAAGGTAAGGAAGGAAGAGAAGCGGCTGGTGAAGCTCAGCTCACGGCGTAGTATTGCGTAAGCAACCGCGGTCACTCACCATCCACGGCAAGAGTCACGGTGAATGCTGCCGCATAAAGCAACAGAGTCGCGCTTGGCGCGATGGTCTTGTCGCGGTTCACGACTTGACGTTGCACACGGTCATAGACGCAGGATCTATTTGGCGAGTCTCAAGCAGCGAAAGTAGGCGCGAGAAATTAATGTCGATCCTGGGGTCAATTTTGGCGCTAAGATAGTTTCGTTTGCTGGTACAACTGTAACGCATCTCCATCGCTTCGGTGAAGGGGGTGAACCGTGCCATCCTCGATCGCCGTGCTAAGCTCGCTTCCGAGCTCTCACGCCGCGCGTAGGGCCCCTAGGGGCCTAGAGAACACAACCCCCTCTCTCTTTTCTCCCAGTAAGCTAAAAGTACGTACAACTGTACATCACGACGACTTGCTTGGGTCTCATGTAGCTCGACGGCACGCTGCCCGCCGCGGAGATGACAGCCCTCATGATCTCGGCGCTAAGCGGACAACCGAGCTGTCGTCATCTACCCGACAGGCAGCCGCGGGGTCGGAGAGCCCATCGTCTACACGGCGGACCAGTCTTCGTGCCGGGGGCACGCCACCTAGCCGCCTTCGACCACAGGGGGCTTTTGCGGCGGAGAGAGAGAGTTTTGGTTTTTAGCGGCGGTCAGTCACTGTCGGTCAGAACGCGGGCACAAAGTGGGCCGCGGACACCTCGTAAATGCGCGGCGGGCTGGCTGGCTTCAAGCCGCAGGCCCTGGCCAACACGGTGTGGGCGTATGCGACGGCGGGCGTGGCTGCGGACGCGCTGTACGCGGCGGTGGCGGAGGCGGCGGTGCGCGGCGGGCTGGCTGGCTTCAACCCTCAGAACCTGGCCAACACGGTGTGGGCGTATGCGACGGCGGGCGTGGCTGCGGACGCGCTGTACGCGGCGGTGGCGGAGGCGGCGGTGCGCGGCGGGCTGGCTGGCTTCAACCCTCAGGATTTTGCCAACACGGTGTGGGCGTATGCAACAGCCGACTATTATCACCAGGCGCTGCTTGCCGACTGCTCGCGCGTGATCAGCGACTCGCTCGCGCGGGATCCGTGGAGGTGGAGCGAGGAAGTCCGCTCTCAGCTGCACCAGTGGCAGCTCTGGCTCTCCCTGGAGCGAGGAGCAGACGGACAGCAGCACCTCCTCTCCGAGTGCCAGCGCAAGCTCTGCTGCGACGCCATGCAAGGCACCGAAGTTACGATTTCGCGCTTACAGCGCTCCGTCGCGGCTGCCCTCGCCGCCGTCCAGCACGGCTTCGAGGAGGAGCATCTCGAGCCGCGCACCGGCTACTCGCTCGACCTGGCGCTGCCCTCTTCACGCGTCGCTGTCGAGGTGGACGGCCCCTCTCACTTCCTGCTGCCCGACGGCCGGGGCGTGCGCAAACCCAATGGGCCAACGCTGCTCAAGCGGCGCCTCCTCAGGGCGGCTGGCTGGAGGGTGATCAGCGTTCCATTCTACGAGTGGGACGGCTTCGCGACAGCCAATGGGCAGCAAACCTACCTGGAGAGGGCGGTCGCCCCGCTGTTGGGCTAGTACTGTGCAGACTGACTGTTCTCAATTGGGGCGGCTCCCGTGGTGTACCTTTGTGCTCCTCGTGGGCCTGTGAGCTGTGTGAGTGGCGCGAGCTAGAAAAAAGAGAATTTTACGCACAAACACGCGCCTCCCCGCTCCCCCCCTCGGCCTCCCTCCCTCCTCCCCCCTCAGGAAAGTGGCCCCTCCGTATTATGTAGCGCTAAAGCCGTACATATATCGCCTCGGCCGATACGTATCGCTGGAGGGTGCTATGCAGCGCCCCGTGATCTCACCACACGTCTCACGACTCGACCTCGAGGGTCGTGGCGTCCACTTCATAGTGCTCGCCACCCGCGCACTCGTCAAGCTCGTAAATGTCGTGCATCAGCTCGTACCAGTAGCTAGTGCAGGCGGAAGCACCAGCCGCCTCAGCCGCCTCCATAACATCCCCTGGGACATCCGTCACGTCGATCGATTTCTTTATCGCGATAACCCGGCCGGCGTAGGAGATGTCTACCTCGTGATGGGTGGTCCATTCCTTTCCATCGTGGGTCTCGGCGCACGCGAACATGATGCCGAAGGTTTGCCACAAGGATGACTCCTCCGTGTGTGCGACGGTGCAACCCGAGGCTTC